GGTACTTAGGTGATTGATCTAGTGAAATCAATATGTAATTCTTAAAAGAATTAGTTAATACTAGAGGGAAGTTTCCTCTAGGACTAGAAGTAGTCAGGTGAGAGATGTACTGATATAAAATCTTATTGTTTTTTTGAGAGAGAGTTGAGAGGTATGATTGCAATACAAGTATGTCGACACATCTTATGACACACAATCATAGGTCTAGCTTAAATGCAAAATTCAGTAGAAATCTCAAAAACTCTAATTCATCCCCCATCCCCTTCCCTTGGTGTTTCATTTAGCCTTATAATTCAAATAAGTATATTTATTCAATAGAAAAAAATATCAATAAGTAGAGAAAGTAGAGCATTTCAAGTTTGTGTCACAACTCATGTGATTGAGAAAACCTTCCTCAGTAACCATGGCAAGATTCATGATTAAAATCAAAAATAGCCCAAGTGCTCAAAAATAATTTCTAAAATAGCCAAAGTGGCTTCTCTAGTTTGCATTTGAAAAAACCTTTTCTCTCAATTATTATAGTAAGATAAACGAGAAGGGTCAACATGCAATTGTATCCATTAAAATAGTAAATATAATGAAAGTGACAATAGCACCAATTATCCAAGAGTATTATGTTAATTAATTGTGTATGCATTGCTGATGCTTGGGGATGTCAATGGGAAGTAACAAAGCCCAAAGCTAACATTTGTATTTTTTGTTTAAACTAGCTTAACTATGTTTTCAACCATTTTTAGTAATGCTTCAGGGTCAAGATCTTGATCCAAGAACCAAGATCTCTATACATAGTTCTATTAGAAAATGATTATTTTGTGCTTGTTTTCTCATTTGGCAGTTTTGAAATTGAGCACTGGTCCTCTTATTTAAATTTGCAGCAATATGATTATTTAAATTCATGAATATTTTATTCAAGCCGCAATTATGGGGAATGCGAGAAGACGAGGTATCGCACGCGGAAGGCGAGAAAACGTTCACCGCCAGTCAATGATTGCGCCTCTTATTTTGGCAGTTAAGGACGTCTCCCATGAAAAGTGGCGGCTAAACACGCCTGCTCCCACGAAAACCGGCGATTAAGCACGCTCTCCCACCAAAAGCGGCGGCTAAGAACATTCTCCCACGACAAGTGGTGGGTAAGCACGCTGTCTCACTATAAGTGGTGGATAAGCACGTCTTGTCACCAAATGCAGTGGTTAAGCATGCTTTCCACCAAAAGTGTCAGTTAAGAACGTCTTGTCACCGTAAGCGGCGGTTAAAGACGTCTCTTCTCAATTGTCACCTTTCGGTGGTCCTTTTGTGGCAGAGACACCCAATCAACGGCTTAGACATCTCCATCTTCGAAGATCGATATCTGACGATTCAGAAAATATTTCAAGCCCAAATTTTGTGGGCACGATCTTCAAGATGTCTCTTCACATCCCCACGTTCAGATCAACAAATCAGCTTCAAGAAGGTTGTGAAAACAAAGGAGAGGAGTTAAAGGTATTTTGAGAAAAGGCCAAAGGTATTTGAGGAAACTTTACTACTTATATGTATTTTCTTCACCCTCTTTTCTTCTCATCTTTTTGGAAAGAGCCCCAACAAGGGTTGACTAGAATGAAACAATTTATATTCTAAAGATTCATTCTTCTTTCCCTTCTGTGTAATCTTTAGTGATCAGGAAAGGCCTTAATAGTAAAGTTGAGTGTTGGGGATCGAGTTACAAGAAGTAAAGTGCTGGAGATCAACTTGTCGAAGTAAACTGTCTAACTTTGACGACAAATAAAGGCCCAAGTTGAGCAATCTTCTTCCTTATCCTTACTTGTTTCCTTTTCTTCTCTCTTAGGGTGAAACCTAGGGTTTTAGATATATTCTTAGTAACTACATTATTCCTTGTCAACTTTGACCATTCTTTCTCATTAAAATATTTTCAAAACTTCTTTTCTACACCCCTTAGGTCAACCCTGATATAAGGTTTCCTTCATTACATCCCATTTCACTCATATTTCTCATCTCCCATCTTTGTTTCTCTTATTTATTTTGTAACCTATTTCTTCTCGTTACTTAAGATTTCTTAAGATCATTAGTTTTTCTCCTTGTGGTTCGACCTCTATCTTACCTTCTCTATTTATTAGATTGATTAGGATAGTGGAAATATAAATAATTTTAGATAACTGCACCTAAGACCTACGACATCCCAAGTATCAAGTTATCAGGAGTCGTAGGATTTACTCATAGAATAACCTTACAAGAGGGCAAGTATTATCTACATATTATCTTGACCTCAATCACAATCCATTTGAAAACAGACTACCGATCAGAGTACCCATTAAAAAATAATGTTAAATTGTTGCACGAACATTTAGCTATTTTGTTGATAGTATCGTTTGTCATCATAGTTTTGTAAAGGAAGGACAGAACTTCAAAGAGCCCCAATCCCTGTTCAGTCCATTGGGCTAGTCTTTGTGTGCCCAGCCCTAATGTGAACGCCCTAAATTAACCTCATATCGAGGTCAGCCCAAGTCCAAGTTACTTGTACCAACTCCTTGCCAGATCCCCGACTCCATTAAAATAATGGTATAAATTGGTCATTTACCTCTACTTGCGCCCACGTTTTCAACTACAGTTCGTCGGTGCATGGGTATAGTTGTCAGAACTAAATTGTGCTTCAAGCAACCCTTTTGATATCATCTTGCTGCATAGTCTCTTACGCGATGCGCTTTTATTATAAGACGAGTATTGTTTGTATCCTGTCAATGTGCTTAGGTTTCACCAACAAGCTGGCTGTACTCACTAAAGTAATGTTGATCTTCTGTCAGTGATGTTAGAGTAGAGCGTAGCTTTGTAAAGGCACGTGAAAGTTATAGTTTCTTGAAAGACGTGCCAAGTCATTTACAATAGTTTCATCATTTCCCACGTCCGTAGGTATCTGAATCTCATAGGATGCGCGCGTTTTAAGGACGATCCAACTTTTCCGTCGCTCGTTCGGTGGATGACGAAGCTTAATTATTTTACTTTTCTACTCAACCTTTATTTTCTGTAGAAACCCGATAATATATATACGTCAACCTACGAATTTAATGATTCCGGTTGAAAAGGTCAACCCAATATTGGAGTCAGATTCTTTGCCCTTACCTTTATTTAATTTTTTCTACACTCGCTGTATTTTTCTCTAGAACTTATTGAGAGATCTTGACATTAATTCTCGCCCACCAAAGCCTTATCACTTGGATTGGTGGTACGTAGCCAGAACAATATTTTTTATTCGTCTCCAAGGTAACATGGCGTAAATTGGTTTTCGGTCAAATTGTGACAATCAACAGCCATCCCTCTTTCGATGGTGATCGAACCCACCAAGTTCGTATTAAATTGTTCTGTTACAAGAGAAGATTATTGAAGACAGTTTAACACCTGGCTTTTGTCCGCGGCCCGATGGTAATGAGGTTTTCGGTCGGATCAACAGCATTATATTGCCCAGAGGCACTATTGGAAGGTGGAATGGACCTCTCAAAGTTTTGTGTCCTATGTCTGCGTGCCAACTAATCATGAGTAGACATATATCAAAAGCTACAGAAAAACTGCTCAACGACATCGTCGCAAGATAACAAAGGGGTTGAAAAGTCAATTAGAGTTGGATCTTTTGTCGGTGAGAAATTTGCGGAATTTCCGGTCGGGGTCTGATTCTTTCATTATTGGACAGGAACAGCGACTGATTCCTTCAAGCCGATAATTGTTCCTCACCAATTCCCGTCTTCTAGTCGCGTCATAAGGGACCATCAGTACCGTTCGGGATGAGAGAGTTGCCAAATCTGCTCTTTCTCCGGGTTGCACTTCGTTCTTACCGGAGTTTTCTTTCAGTATAAATGTATATATCGCCATTGATAAGAGGAGTCGGAATCGGATTCAAATTAAAACCATTGAAGATAGGTGAAGCAGTAGCAATACAGGAGAAATCAGAAGAAAATCAATGATCCTCGTGCCATCATCTTCTACCATCATTAAGTTGCCGTCACGTCGAAGCGTGACGGACACGCGTTTCTTTTCGGAAGAGCACATCATAGAATATAGCGTTGAACCGCTCCGTAAGATTCAGCTTTTTACACACAAAAGAGACGCACACACCTCAATCCAGTAGACTAATTAAAGGGACACTAAAGATTAATGACTCCTCACTTCAAGAATGCAATGACGCCGACAATCCATCACGACTAGGAGACGCCAAGTGATTCTGATACAGGGTGATCCTCCAAGTCCACGTCTGGAGGGCGAGGACTTAACATCGTCGACGCGACTCCACAGCAAGTGCTCGACGGCCAACGTGACAATTTTGGCACACGCGTCAGGGTCGCACGGTGGAGGCACCTAACCCGTTCTAACCTAGCTAGCACCAACAGCGGTGGAGCAGGTGCATCACGTATCAGGCGCCGCTCTAGGAAGTTTATTAGTCTACTCAGGCACAACCCTTGGAAAACTAATCCAGAATCTGCATCCACATACATGGGGACTGTTTCCAAGATGCCCGCAACATACTGAGAAGCTTTAACCTATTCTGAAACAATGTCAGCAAGTACTATTGCAATGAAATCAAGAATGGCAGTGGCTCCTGCTGAACATGGTCCCCCCCCGTAGCCTGAGTCATCAATCTCCTTCATCGATGTCGTAACACAAGCTCATCTCGACATCGAATTAGTTATTACGGAACAGCTGTGTTGCGGTTACTATCATCATCATAGTTCTTTAGAATCAATCTCTTCTGTTTGAGTCGATTTGGCTGCTGGTCAACAATGGGTCCCGTCACCGTCAGAAAGAGCTGTCGAGGTGTATATTCTAGGAAACTAAACGTGCAACCTCAACCTAATACCTCCTCACGATACGCTAGTACCCAACCTCCACGAGCCAGATCTGCCCCACAGTAATCCACTTAAATGGATAATCAATAATTCCGAATAAAATACTAGAGGGCTATGGATCCCGTGCTTATAAAGCACAACACTGCAGCCGAGGGTATTAGAGATTGAGTGATCATGGGGTCGAGAATAAGAGGGGAGATAATGTTCCTGGCCCTGGTGCTTGGCATGTATCTCAGTGCTACGGCAGAAGCTACGCTTCGAGTCGGGTATTACGAGAAAACATGTCCGCATGCAGAGTTCATCGTGAAGAAGGTTATAACGAAGGCGGTGAAGAAGGACAGTGGTCTGCCTGCCGATTTCATCAGAATGCATTTCCACGACTGTTTCGTGAGGGTGAGTTACGTAGCTACTTACGCCGATATTTACATGCCTCTCGTCGAGAAGAGGATTGTGTTCGGTTAACGTAGCTCGTCAACGCCAGTTTATCTTCTTTCCTTCTGATGTATTTAGGGTTGCGACGGATCAATTCTTATCAACTCCACCTCGAAAAACGTCGCCGAGAAGGACTCATCCATCAACAACCCAAGCCTGGAAGGGTTCGAGTTCATCGACGAGGCTAAGGCCAAGCTGGAGAAGAAGTGCAAGGGTGTCGTGTCTTGCGCCGACATCATCGCTTTTGCTGCCAGAGATAGTGTTGAGCTGGTAGAATCAAGATACTAATATTATTGACTAGACCGTATCACTTGCGAATGCAAGACTTGATGTCCCTGTGGATAGGCATGACTGCTCGGCTGACTTTCTTCCTAACTGCAGAGCGGAGGATTTGTGTACGAAGTTCCCTCAGGAAGGAGGGATGGGAGGATCTCCCGTAGCTCGGAGACATTCGGAAACTTACCACCTCCGACGTTCAATTTGTCACAGCTCACTCAGAGCTTTGCCAGCAAGGGTCTAAACTTGGACGACCTGGTCACCCTTTCTGGTACGAAGCATATAAACGCTCACGTTTAAAGGGATCTATCAGTCCAGCTTGGAAACATTGAACCCATATATTTTAATTCCTACCATTTTATTTTCTCGTGGGGAACTATTCTTGCAATTTCAGGGGTACACACCATCGGCAAGTCTCATTGCACCAGCATCGACAGCCGGCTGTACAACTTCAGCTCGACAGCCACCACCGATCCGAGTTTGGATCCGGCTTACGCAAAGAAACTGAAGAAGAAGTGTCCCAAAGGGAGCACCGACCCGAACCTAACAGTCCCAATGGACCCTCCCAGCCCAGAGCTCTTCGACTCCAGCTACTACAAGAACATCCTCGTCCACAAGGGTCTCTTCCACTCAGATCAGGCGCTCCTGTCGAGTTCCAAGACTGCTCATCTGGTGAAAAAGAACGCAGCCAACGAGTACCACTTCAAGAAGAGGTTTGCTGAGGCTATGGTGAAGATGGGCAAAATCGAAGTGCTCACCGGGAAAAAAGGAGAAATAAGGTTGAACTGTGGGGTGACCAATTGAACCACCTTTGGATTCCCGTCTGAATCTGTGTTTCCGCTATCTTGGATTGTTCTGGATATCCAGTCCTCAATAAAAGCAAACAAGCCCCAGGGGTAGCCAATGGGTAAATATCAAGACGCATGCATGGCAGGGTCACGTTTTCTTGTAAACTTTAGTATATCGAAAATATATTGTTTCTTAATGAAATATTCGAACTATTGTGTTCCAGATCTTCCAGGAACTCCTTGAGTAATCCAAGCCCAACCCCCTATCAGTGCCAGTCGACTGAGGATATTCTGAAGCAACGATTTCAATAGTGTAATATGAAAGAGAGAATCGCACTTTCTGAAATGCATCACTACTTGTTTCACGGAAGTGAGCAAACTCACCTGATTGACTCATGGAAGCTTCATATCATTTGTGGCAGTAACATATATTTGATGTTCGATCAAAATCTTGGAAGTGTTTCGATATTTGACTAAAAAGACTGAGCCCGATAAGTTGTGTGGTGGCGCACTGTCGGTTCATGCACGCTCAAGGTGAGAGACAATCTTTGTAGCTGCGTTGTGACAGGTTGAATGAAGTCGTGGATGTAATAAGTGTGACCCCCACGTCCATGTCTGTCTATCCGTTGATCGTTCATCCTTTCTACTATCTTGATGAAGGGTTCCATTTTCCTTACCTAATGCCTTTACTGGTCCTACATTAAATGACCTCTCCAATTAACGAGTTAACCTATCTTCCTTCTGTATATGCACAGTCTAAAATCTGGACTTGTTCCCACTTGTGATTCGAGGCATTAATCGATTTCTCTTCCACAGCGGGGAAAGTGTCAGTTTACCATAACAAGTTGAAATTTCATTCTATGGTTCAAGTTGAAATTTTAATTGAGTTTGCATGGATATCCTTATTCTTTATCATTTGCTTTCAACTACGAATCAAAGTTACTTTCATTATTATGGTGGTCTTCTAACTAGGCTTTAACAAATGTAATATTCTCCAACATTGTGATATGAGTATATCTCAAGTTCTCGTAATCATACAGTGGCGAGACTCCTAAAGTTTTACTGTCCTATTCAACCACAGTGGTCTCAATCTTCGTTTCGTTTCTTTATTTAGCAGGATTTTTTTGATTACTTGCACAGACTTGGAAAGCATCTCAAAACATAACTTGATATCCGATGAATTTACAATATGGTCAAATTACATAATTTGACCATAGATGCAGTTAACCACGTATCCTGAGCATTTTCTAAGGGCACAGAATTTACGGAAAAGAGACACAGCGAGTAGAAACAGGAACGATATCCTTACTCCAGCATGCGGAAATTCGATCACCACTCATAGATGAAACTTGTACGGGGGAGAGATCTGAGAGAGAGATAGTGACGAAACTACGAAGTCACAGTCACGCATGAAGCTAACAAAAGGGCCAGCGTCTAACGCCTCTCCCTCAACTCGATTGTTCTTAGGCTCCCATGGATCCCCTCGAAATTCCCTTGCTTTGGCCGTAAAATGTGGCTCGAGCCTAAGGTCCGCACGACTGCTACCTTTTTAGAAATGAACTAACTACTTCATCAGTCCGCAATGTTGTTTTTCCCCCGCGACATATGACGTTGGAAGGACAATCTGAAATGATGTGAAAGGAAAATACCTGTGGTTTAAAGGGGGGGAGGGGGTTCTTGTGTTGGGGAGAGGTTGGGGTGGGAGTGGAGAAGTTGAGCTGCTCCGTGGAATCTAAATAAAACCAAGTTTTCTGGAAATCACATGAAATGCGACGGATGCGGAGGAGATGGCCCAATAAGCGCATGTCTTACTTCAAACTCTTCCCAAGGCGTTGACCTCAACGCGATGAGGTGACAAACAATAGTATCATTGAATCGGTCCCCTCTCTTCTCGTTGTTGACCTCCATACATCACCTGCTCCCTTGTGCACATATGTAGAGGTGTTGTATTGTGTGGAAAGAAAAAGAAAATGGGGAGAAGTGGGCCCCTACATGTCTAGTCCCTTATCGGATATTTATTGTGCCCCCCCCCCCCCCTCCGGAGTAATAATACCGCGGTCCTCCTCCATTGAAGCCGCTAGCGTTACATATAAAAAGTGTTCCCTATGGGAGAGCTGAATCCAAAATGACTCCCTTCCCCTCGGAAGTTCTCCGAGGGTTTGTGTCACCGGTGATTCTCCGATTCGCCGTTTCAACGACCCGAAACGCGCCGTTGCTCCGTCAACACCGAGCAGCCTCCACGTCACACCTGCTGAATAATCCCCCGATCGTACTGCAATAGTGGCACAATGAGAAGAATATTGTTCCCGAGAATAGAGACATACAAGGGAGAGAAGAAGAGTCCTGCACGGCCCTCTTCTCCGTCAGTGACTTCCAGCTTTCACCCAACTCTTAGTCAACTCGTTCACTGACAGCGTTCGAGAGCCACCTTAGCCTCCTCACGAGTTGTCACCTCACTCTCTCCAAAAGGTCCCCCTCATGTGTATGAGAATCCCTAAGCTCTCTCTCGCCCCGAAGCCTTAAAATTAGAACTTAATACCTATTATATTCAGATGACTTAATATCAGATTATTCTATAATGTTAAGATAATTAAGATCATTAATTACCTATTATGTTATTTAATTCAAATAATCAAATAAGACTTCTGAAGTAAAGTTAAAACCATCAATCTTTCACACAAAGGTGGCTATTCTATGAATCTCACAAATTCTAAGAATAAATATTTAAAAATAATGACCAACTTCACAAGTAATTTAAAAATCAACGCCCCTTTGCAATATAGATTTTGGTATCTTAAAGATTCTTATTAATTCGAGTTTCACCATTTTTATCAGTGATTTTCCAAGGTTCAGACTGAGTGGTTCGCACCAAGGAGTGGACTGGTGTGGTTTGAAGTGAATGAACTATTTGAGCCGGAATTTAAAAATGAGGTCCAAAAGTGAGGTGAAATAATAAAATAATAATGAAAAGAAAAGGTGGAGAGAGAAAAGGGGACGGAATGAGAGCGCGTCGGCGGGAGAGAGAGAGAGAGAAAATGAGAGGGTACGTGGCGACGGTAGGAGAGATAGGAAAGAGGGTTTCGGCGGGAGAGAGAATGAGGGTTACGTGGCGACGGCGGGAGAGAGACAGAGGGGCGTCGACGGGAGAGAGGGAGAAGGGGGGGTTTCGTGGCGACAGCAGGAGAGAGAAAAGGAGAGGGTTTGCGACAGCGAGGAGATGAAGTGGCGGCGACAGGGTGGACAGCAAGGAGCCGGAGTGCCGGCGACGGGCGGACGACGAGGAGGCGGGACGACGGCGACACGGTGGCTGGCGAGAAGGGGAGTGGCGGCGACGAGGCGGACAGCAAGGAGGCGGGACGACGGCGGCGGGGTGGCTGGCGAGAAGGGGAGTGGTCACGACGGGGCGGACGGCAAGAAAAGGTAATGGCGACGACGGGGCGGACGAGGTGGAAGAGGAACGGCGGCGTCAGGGGTGAATGGCGAGAAAGCGGAATGGCAGCGACGGGGCAGATGGCGAGGACGACGTGAAGAGGAAGAGAAGGAGGTCCCCCTAGTCCAAGAGGCGATGAAAGGAGGGGAGGAACCCCCAGTCCAAGGGGCGAATGAGGGAGAAGGAACCCCTAATCCAAGAGGTGAGAGGGATAACACGAATCCTCTTGATTCCAAATTTAATTTCAATTTTTCTTCCAGTATTCTTGAGTTTGAGTATTTATAAGAAATAGAGGAAGGAGAGGCGTCCCCTCTCAAAGGATGCCAAGCGGAGTCTCTTGGAGGGAGAAACGCCTTCCTTAGGGGAGAAGGGGTGTATAGGTGACGTGGCCTCTTCTCCTCCCTCTTCTTCCTCCTCGTGGGGAATGAACCCTCATATTGATTCCATCATTCTCTCAATCTCCTTTCTTCTCTTCCTTCTCCTCTTCCCCCCTCAGAGAGCAAAGTACCCTCACTTTTATAGAGGGAGAGGGGAATAATCTCCGCCGCATTATCCTCCCTTGCCTTCCGGAGGAGTCCGGATAGTCCTCCACCTAATTATCCGTTCTTGCCTTCCTTAGGTTTCCCTTCTTCGTACAGACGACTTCGTCAGTCTGTTCCCGGATCTCTCGTAGATCCGGCGTTCCAGGTCCGTCTGTTCCAGGTCCCCTAGTCCGTCTGTTCCAGGTCCGGGAGATCGCTCCGCCGAGTTCCCGTTTTACCGCGTCATCCGCGTAGCCCGCGCTTTAGTTGCGCGTGTGAGACGCCTGCCTGCCTCCCTCCGCTTGTGTCTCACGTGGCTTCTCCCGGGTGTCAACCCGATGGAGAGGTTCTGGGGTGTCACAGTTTACCTATGGAATTGCCACTCCGATCCTAACAAGAGGGTGGTGGAGTTGCCGGTAAAGAACTACAGCACAGGGGTCACTCAGAGAATGGTATAGTCACAAGGAAGACGATAGGCCACATAAATTCTTAGTTGCTTGATATTTACTTCCATACGAGCAAGTCGAGACAATGCATCAAAAGGTGTAAGTTAGTGAAATATTAGTGATATATAGCCTGCCGTTTCCAGATGAACATTATGTGAGAAAATTATGTGAAAATTTCTTAATTGTTAGGAGAAACAATATGAACTGAAAGTGGGCATCAATTATAAGAACTGCCCATTTTCAATCAACTGATGGCCTCGGTAATTCCTCATAGGTAACATTCTTCTGGCCCGTCTTTACCACAGCTGCCGCAGGTCTGCGGCGGAAGCGGTAAGGTTTGGCATTGTTCTCCCTCGCCGGTCTTATGTTGCCACATCCAACAGGAGTGCCCGCCTGGTGGGGCTTGAAGAGGTAGTGGTTAGCCAGGACATCGCCGTAGTAGCCAGAACGGATGAAGTACGACTCCGAGGACCCAATAACCAAATAGGTTCAGCCTACCGTTCGTCTCTGCTGGCCATTATGCACTAAGTAGATCTGAGTTGTCTAAGCGAGAGCTGTCAGATTGTTGTTGCGGAAGCTCATAGGGAGATTGCTGACAAATCAGAGGGGACCCCACGTTCGGCTGTTGGCTGGAGTGATATCCTCTCTTTCTCTCTCTCTTGGAGAGCAATAAAAGAAAAACTACAGAGATGAACAGTCGCGCCAACAGCGAGAGAGAGAGAGAGAGAGATAATATCAACGAGATCCCACGTTGATATATATATGATGACTCTCTCTCACTCGAGTGCTGGAGAGACATCATATACATGTATGCGCACTAAAAGTAAACGCACAGAGACGAACAGGCGCCCCACGGCGAAAGAATGGGAACGTTAAATAGATAAGACAGGGGTGGGGGTCAGCGTTTGTTTAGTAGCTCGAGAAGAAGGGTGGCGGCGGAATCCTTGGCCTTCTTCACACTGGGCATGGGCTCTCCGACGCACTCGTCGGTCCATCCAAGGTCGGAGGTGTTCACGCGAACCGAATAGACGAACCTCTTGGCGTGCGCGGGGCCGCCCTCGTTGACGCAGCGGTACTGCGGCATCGGCCACTGCCGTCGCAGGCAGATGTCGTTCAGCGTCTGCCTGGTGTATACCTGCCCCGACGACCTCTTCCCATCCTCTGCCTCCTCCCGCCTCGTCTTGTCCTTCTCCTTCAATACCACCAGCGCGTTCCGGGCCGCCAGTTTCTGGGCCATCTTCTTCTGCGGGTTTTGGGCCACGCCGATCTGTACGCCGTCCACGAAGACCTCGACGGTGGCCACATTGCCCGCGCGGGTGGCCTTGTACTCCAGTCCCTCCGCCTGCTGCTGGCACCGCTCTTGGAGCTCCCTCACCGGGTGCATTGGGAGGGTCTCTGGGGTCACCATAGGATGCAGCAGGGGCTGAAACGCCTGCAACTCGGGTTGCAGCAAACAAAGAAACCTTGTTAAACAAATGGATCAAGAAGACGAGCAGGGATGTGCATTGGAGAGGAAAGGAGAGGAGAGGAGAGAGAGGGGGTTGGCAGCAGATCGGAAGCTTGCCTTCCACACAGAGGACGGGTCACATCCATTGTCAAGGAAGATGGCACCGGCGATGGACTCTACGATGTCACCCAGGACCTTGGGAGCCTTGCAATCTCCCAGGCCGAAAGAATTCAGACCCGGTTTCGAAAGCTCATCTTGAACGTCCTTAACGAATTCCCGGATCTGTGATGCACGAGGGTAAATGCACAAGCAAGTTAACTAGAGGGGAAGCTTGAAGGTTTCTCAGCGTAGAAGTTATTGGCCTAGGAGTCAGCACCTGGGCTTCAAGGGCAGTCGAGCCATGTCGAAGGTGCACATGCAGGTTATGCTTCACAGCCACCCGAGCGAAATTCTCATTGTTCACAGCCGCGGCTCTCAAGTCAGTAAGGCGACCTGGGGGCAGATCAGTATAAGTGAAGAACAGATGACTGGTGATCAGGTGGTCAAGAACTGCATCGCCAACAAATTCCAGCCTTTGGTAACATGGGACTCCAGATGATGGTCTGGAAGCATGAGTGATGGCCTCCATTAACAAGCCCTTGTTATTGAACCTCAAATTTAAAATACCTTCCAATCCATCAAAGTCAATGCTCCTCATTACGCTCTCTGATATATTGTAGGGCTTGTTCATAGAATCCATGATTTGCATGCCAAAATCTACCTGAATGCCGATCCACTGCATGAGATGGTTCGCAGCGTTTTCCCCACCTTCGACGTAGTAGACACCGATTAATGCTTCAACAACATCAGCCAGCGTCTTGCTGGAGAGAACCCTGTAACAACCAGAATCACCCTCAAGCTCACCGTCTTCCCTTTCATCAAAATCATCATCATATAACCCCCCCGTCTGGACGTCGACCTCAGTGTTAGAGGTTCCCTGGCCAGATAGAGGGGGTTCTAATTCCTTTGTATCTTCATCAAAGACAGGGGGCACCCCAGGAGCCGCCCATCTTGATGGAGCAAAACGATCTGCCTGAATATACGACTGAAGTCCGTTATTAAGAGCATACTGATATAACACCATATTACTAACCATCTGTTGTCTCATTCTTGTGAGCTGGCCTTCATGTTTCTGCGGATATCTGAGAAAAAGATACCTGCTGACAACCCACTTCAGATAAGCATCCCCCAAGAGCTCTGCTCTTTCATAGCAGAAAGTTTCTTGACATGATGCAGCGGTTAAGGCTTCCAATATCTGAAATTAATATTTCACAAAATCCGTAAGCATCAGAAAATAATGGCAAGTTTATGCAGGGTTATTGAAGGAAGGAAACCTTTGCAACAGGCACAGGATAACCAATCAAGTCCTTAAGTTGAACCGCCAGAAGCATACTCTCGACTCTCCTCATTATTGAAGGCAATCGCTGTGCACCTCGAACAAGGGGTCCAGGAAGAGGATGGACAAGGCAAAGCTCAGGAGGAAGAAATACATAGTATGTCTTGTCCAGATCCTCCTTGGATTCATTGTCCTTTTCTGCACAACAACCCAAACAAGGGTTAAAAAAAAAAGTGTCTAGATTAAAGATAGGAGGTATATAAACCAAAGAAGTGACATCATAGCTACCTTCCGAATGCCCAAATCTCGGAGAAAGCAGATTTTTGCAATATGAAACGCCTCTTCCACGCAACAGAGGCTGTTTTTTATGCATCAGCTCTACACCGTACCTGGAATGAAAACAAAGCAGAAATGGGCAGACCAAAATGCACCTTACTGTTGGGCATGAAGCATGAAGACCTTTCCTACTACTTCGAAGAAATAGCTACCACTGTCAATGTGAAAACTTGTATAATCTTTTCCGCATTGAACAGTGGAAAGCTACTTCTTCGTCGCAGGAAAGACCTTCAAGCTTCTTCTAGCTCAACAGTTAAGGTACATTGTGGCTATCCATTCCTGACGCACAGCATGGTCATATAACTAGCCACAGAAACGGAAATTAAAAAATATGAAGAATATCTGAATTTTGTGGAGGATTTGCCGACTCGGTACAACTCTATGGGTGGGAGCAATGTTACCGAATTGCAAAATATGAAGAATATCAGAATTTTGTAACGGAGGATTCACGTGTTTACTTCCTGAGTTATAATGTTATACAAAAGGCAGCAAAACAATATATTAAAGATCAACATCTTGGAGAGTAGAATCATACTTTTTCCTGTAGTAGTCAGCATAGGAGCCATACTCCAAGGGTCCCAGGTAACCCTCTTTCTTTGGAAATGAATTCTCTGCATTCATGTCATATCTTATAGAGTCCACATAAAATCTTTTTCCAGAGTGTGCAGCAGTTACAATTCTACCAACAAGGTCTTCAGCATGGATATAAGAGTCAGCCATCGATAATTTCCCTCGGATCATATCTCCATTGCCATTTGCTCCAACATCCCAACTGGGAACTAAGCCAGAAGCTTTCACAACATCAAACTGTGCAACCGCTCCCCTGATACCATACGTCGGATGAGCTTTGAGTCCGAAAGACATTCCATGCCGTAACTTACCAAATCCATACTCCCTTCTATCACCCCCGAGCGTCCTCTCATTGGTACCAAGGTACACATCTGGGCGTGCCCTCTGAAGAGGGTTACTCCATGCATCACTGCCAACAATCTGTTCAACTGTATCCCAATCAATTTCTAGTAAAGGATCTAAGTGCTTCTGATTTATTGTGGGGACAAACAAGTATGCTTTGGCTGGATCCCATGGAGTAGTGGAGGGATCAACGTCCACATCAAGGACAATGCTCATAAGTCGAACGTGAAAGCTCTTCAAAGAAACTAGCTACAGTAAAGAAACATGACAAGAGAATAAGAAAATGTGCAACCAAATATGATCTTCACAAAGTTATGCTTATCCTTGTAAACAACCAACTAACCTGTGTTCTGGTAATATTTATGGCGCCCTTGAAGACAAGAGATGACTTTGTAATCATCGTCTTAGCAACAAAGAGTTCTACTGACATAGATAGCACCTGCAAATCATTCACCATTAGACAAAGTAAATCATTTTCATAAAAAATACGTAAGTAAGGTTAAGGATACCTCCTCACTGAGCTTGTTGCCAAAAAGAACAGAGAACTCTGAAACATCTGTGAGGAACGGATCTTTGGAAGTGCCAATGTTTACACATTTCACACTGTACACATATAATTGAAGAGGTTGCGAACTTGTGTAACCATCTGCCCGAGATAAAATCCATTCTCCCTGAAAAATTACAATTCAATCGAAAGGGTTAAAGACATGTCTCTGGTCGAAACAGAGCACGCCAAACCAAATCAGTCCTAACAAAACAAGACTAGAAGAGGATCGTAGAGCAGCAGCAAAACTCAACGGATGAGAAGTGCCGTAAAATAGATGTTCTGCAGCATGAAAAAAAAGATAAAACACCAACATAAGCTGATCACACGAGGCAAAAGCAGAAAGACCATAAGGCTCCACCTGACTTTACAGGGATGTCGAGAAACCCATATTACACACTCACTCTTGGTGCTGATGTAGGAACATTCTAACCAAGTACTCGAGTTTATTCGATTCCAGAATATCCAGTTCAGCATCCATAAGTGGATTAAGTAATAGAAATTTTAGACGGACCCTAAAAGTTCAAGGGCAACAAAGACATTTAAATGTGGAGGAGTACATAAAGTTTAGGCATATCCTATTTCAACTACCACCCAGGATTAGCAAAAGGGACAGACAAAAAGGACCGAAACTGTTCTGGATACTTAAGATCTTGATTGAGATTAAAAAAAAGAAAATAGGTACAAAATAAACTTGGACTGGTTAGCCTCAAGAGAAAAAAGAGTCATCAGAACTTTCACTAACGGAAACTGATTAGGTCGATCAATTACACAAGTAGAATGAAATGCTCACATCTGAAATGAAACGACTTACCCCTCTAAGCAGCACATATGTCACGTTAAGGAGTTCCTAGAAACTTGTCGTTTTAACTACTTAAAATGACATTAAGATTTTCCTAATTAAGAATATATACACTATATAAAACTTCAAATAAATTAAGTACAAAATGTTCAAACCACTGTGCAACTATAAAAGAGGAATTAGGGTGCACGTAACAACACTAAAAAGATGCAAATGTAGTAACGAAATAGCATCAACACGGATGAGAAAAACATATCATCAGCTGGATTAGCTGACAGTTCGCCACTCATTACAAGGATAATTCATCCTGCCTCCTCTCTCCTATTTTAATATTTTCTCTTGTATTTCTATTAATTTTTAATTTTATTCTCTTTCCCGGTCTTTCACCCTTCGCGTTCTCCTTCCATTCTCTGGGACAAGGAAAGGCTGGGATGGCCCACGACCCAAAATTTCAACTCTGAATGTTGACGAAACATGCGTCCATAACAAACTGCTAAATACTAGCAAGACTAAAGAAGAATAAATACCAAGAAAATGTATTATGAATTCCCTTTTAGGGTCCTGCAGAAGATATTTGATTCTAATGTCAAAAATAACTTAGAAGCAGACCAATGTCAAGAAACACATAAATAGTGTAAACATTGTCCCATTATCGTGTACACCAGGAGAAGACCACTGATGGCCATATACGGAGTCAACAGATATATTGCATAAAAAGGGCACATATCCCTTTTGCATCCATACAAGGGTAATCAGATTTCTTTGAACATGAATACACCAAATGATAACTAATTTTCATCACAGACCATCAAATCCGAATGAGTCAAAACATGAGATCAAAGAGACAACAGCGGCGTAACTATGAAAAGTAGATTTTAGTTTTGAAAGATGGTTCAGAAAAAAGTAGCCATAAGTCACAATAACAAGGCTCTTCATGAATGAACAAATCTGAAAATATCCGGAAACAAGACCAAAAGGCAAACCGTGTAAGGTGGAACTCACAAAAAGAATTTCCGCTACACCTTCAGGATAGAACTCTCGATGACGTGCAGTCCCAGGGAGAGGATCACCTTCGTCATTCTGTTCAATTTTCTCATCGTCATCACCACTACCTTTGTCTGGCAAAAGCATGTCGGTGAATGCCCCCATCTCATGGAGCTTCTTACATGCAGCCAAGCAAACAGCCTTCACAAGGTAACATGGATAATTTTAAATGAAAAGGCAATCAAATTTGCAAAGTATGACAACACAAAATAAAAAATTTGCAAGCTTTACGCGGGTTAGCAGACCTGTTGTGCAAGGCGGATTGAACTGCATATAGGGCCCTCAAGTTTTTCAAATGGTGCATTGCAAGGAAGCTGAAGTTTGCATGAGTATTCAGTTGAACCACCTGGTGACTCATGTCGTTCCATGATAAACTCAGGACGGAGTATTGAATATCTGAACATCAATGAAAAGAATAGGCGACGATTACTCAAACCTCATAAAAGCAAGATAAAAATGTATTAAACACCTTATGCATAAGGACCAATCCATGCATCTGACATTCTTCAGCAATGTCACTGGGTAACTGGGAGCAATACAAGTGGACAACTATTCAAGAAAAAGGTGTTAACTACTACCTGTCACTGGGTAACTGGGAGCAGTACAAGTGGACAAGTCCAACAGCAGAATTAAGACTAACAATTGCACCAGTTGACTCCACCCTGTATATTGACCCGGGTAACATATCAACTGAAGTCAGTTTTGATGAACCCTTAAGATGACTGAGATCAGTCCTCTCTATAGCCTCTCTTCTCAATGTCTCCTCGCTATTCCTTGCATTCCTCAAAAATGTTTCATGTGACAGGTTTCCCCTGGTATAAGCTTGCTGGGTTAATAATACTAACCAAAAAAATCTGTCTGAACTAAACAACATTCTAGTACGAAAATCATTTCAATACCTTTCAAGCATCAGAATGTAATCAGATCCTGGTTTCCTTGCACGACCTCTTGATTGAATGTAAGCCAAGACAGTTTTTGCAAGGTCAAACCGAATAACAACATTGCACTGCCGGATGTCAAGTCCTTCTTCTGCAACACTAGTGGCAACTAATACGGTAACCTAAATGTCAGATACAAAAACACAGCATAACTATTGTTAGAAAGAATCTTTACAGATCTTTAAGATTAACAAAGCGATATGAAGTTGTTAGAATTAAGAATCTCTATCCGTACCCGACCATCACGAAATTTAGCAATTGTATCCTGCATTTGACATGTACGCATTTCTTGATTATTGTTGTGTCCAATCAAACTCGCACACTTGATGAAATTCAGGGACGGTAGCTCTGACAAGAGCTGAAACACAGAAAAGAATAAAAATGATTTTATTTGAGCAGTTCAATTCAATCAAGCAAACGAGGACAGAAAAACAAAAAGCTGAGCCAAACCTTTGGAAGAACCAATGCTGCAACAACTCGTTCTACAAAGATAATTGCACGAAAATCTTCTGTGTGTTGGTATTTTAGAAGTATTTTAATTAGAGACTGCACCTTTGGGGTGACCTTTCCATCTGCCACAGCTGCCCCTATTATCACATCCACATGCTCGCCACCAGATAGAACTAACAGCCAATCCAAAAATCTCAGCGACAAGAAAAAACATACGGTTTGCAGAAAAGTTGTGTATACAGTATAGTACACAGTATAAATAATAGAAAATTATCCTATAACTTGACAATATAACTCAATCTAACAAAAACATGGGCAAAACAACAGCTTGTAGACAGAATGTTACAATTGTGTTTGTTGACGAATAGCGTCAAGAAGGATCCTTCAAACAATTTATAGAAGGTAATCATGTACCGCGTCACATGCAATGCACAGCCAAGAGCTATCAGCATATTTAATATTGAAACAAACATATGAAAGAATCTACGGTACATGGATAACTCCTCTGTTGTCCTGCACACAACAGAGTAAAGAAAAATGTTTGTGTTGTACAGTAAAAACAAATCTTCGACATTATCGGCAAAACAATGGATGGAAGACATCAAAGGCCACCCCAACAAGCACTCATTGAGTTGCAACTTCTGCCATTTTATACAAGCCAGACCAACGCACTGCAAGCCCACAAACTTATCCCATATGGTGGAAGTTTCAAATTTTCCAAGTACCTCAGAAAAAAATATTTTCATATCAAAAGGAGTGATGGGGCTAAGTATCAATGCACACTATTTCTGATTCTAACATTGAAAAAAGTTATGGGTGAGTGCACTCCAAGCAGACGACTGGGGCAGAATCCCCGATTCCGACCTCATACAACACCCAATCATTGGTTTCACTGTATATTGAAAACAGTCTACTGTTCACAGAGATCACATGAAATAGTCTCTCCTCCATGTTTCTAAAAATAATTTACCAGCCCGGAGAGTAATTTTGAGTATAGCCAGAATAACATCAGCCTACCGCATTAGCCAAAATCTAGTATTAGATGGTGGTTTCCATTTTTAAAAATCGTATGATCCCAGGAACATAAATGATTTAAAAAGTAAAACCTATGGCATTATTTTTTTAATTATGGGAAGAGAATCTGCGTTCACAAAGCATGGAATAACGCGAATTGAATGCAAGAATATCATATTTGCAGTATTTTCAATTGTATCAATCATAAAAATAACCAAAAATAATCATTTTTGTGCTATCTCAAGCAGACGTTTCATGAATTGAAAACAGCAAGTACCAAAAAACAATAACTATGTATCTCATAGTTATTGTACTACTTATCTCTGCACATATTGCATCACAGCAAGCCGTCATGGTAATCTTGCACCATCTCCATGTAATTCACAGATTAATTTTCCATCAAATGACAGTTCCAAATTCATCTCATGAGTAGGCAAATAAAGACGTCTGCATAGAAAAAAACAATTCTCTACAATTGCCACAGCCTGCCACGTCTTGAAAACGGATGAAACGGATCAACATTACATTCCAATAATTTTAAATGTCAAAAAAAGTGATCGTAAATAATTTTATAACGCTTCAAATTGTTCGATTCATAAATAACCCAATTCATCCACCACATGTCCTCGCCAATCATAAAAAATGAGAGTTGAATGCAACAGTGTCAAGGAAGACAAAATAACAAACATTCCTAAATACTTCCAAAAAAAAAAAGCGAATCCGTTAGAAAGTCAGCAAGCAATACTCACCATGACTATCTGGCAGCTCCCCCTCTTCAACTTCCTCCACTTGGGCATCAGCACTCACCTTGACTTCACCTTTAACGTCTTTATCAAGGGCAGCTCCTTCAGATAATTGACATTGCAATAACTCTACCACTTTTCTCAGGTATGATTCTTGAAATTTAATATCAAGATGATAATTTGACTTCTCATCATTCTGCAAAGCCGTCAAAAATGACAGAGCAACCTGCAAAAAAAAATTGATGATTTATTCTCTGAATAATTGTCGAAAAATGTAAGAGATGTCAGTTTCTCATCGTATACCTTAAAAGCACACCACTGCCCTAGTTCACCCAAAGCATAATTGATGGCTCTCAGTTTCTGAATAAGATTAGCAGCTCCATCACTCTCCGTTCTCTCAGAGACACCATAAATAAAGCGTAATTCCTCTTTAGATCCAGCATCTCTAGCACCCATGAACTGCCATTTGCTTCTTCGGGAACTCGAATGTGCAGCTTCATCAACTTCAGCTTCTAATCGTTTAATTTGATCATGAAGAAAACATAGACTACCAGCTTTATCATAATGCACAATAACTTCCAAGGGCATCGGAACATGCCTTTCAAGCTCCTTCCGGTCTTTTATCGTACATACAACAGAATCTAGTTTGCTCTCAAGATTTCGGATCTTGATGGCACAATCTTCTTGACTAGAAACCCCTGCAGAAGAAGTACAATAAGAGCACACTCTGATGTTCAAGAAAATCGTGGATGTAAAAAGTATAAATGTTTAACAAAACAATATGAAATATACCAAAACGAACACCATGGGATGCGTCAAAACAAAATATATAAACACTTCGTCAAAAGGGAGAATCTTATCATTCTATTAGAAAAAACAGCAAGCGAAAAATCAAATTAAACAAAAAAATGTATCTTACAATCAATGGAAGCTTGATAAAATTCAGTTAAACAAAAAAAATCAAATTATTGCTATACATTTACTTTACTCAACCCAATAACATAGGTATACTTTTTCATTTAGGTCTATTTACCTTTCGAGCAAAGAAAATTATCCCATAGTTTTTTATCATAGCTGTTGTCTCAAAGGTACACTGACAGCTCTTTTGATAACCACTAGGCACAAAGTTTATGCATTGGTACATGGGGGAGAAAAAATCCTGGATGCAACTTTAATCCATCAGACAAATAAATCCATGAAAGACAATTTTCAATTATAATACGACAAGCAAAACTAAAGGCTAACCCGAAGGGCATCAGAGAGTACCAAGGGTGCTAAAACGATTCAATTTAAACTGTCATGCATCAGACAAATTATTAGCAACATGATAGAATGAAATTAATTGTTCAAAACGATTAAACAATTTATGATAAATTGGGCATTGAAAAACGGGATGAAAATGACCGATTGACATACATGTAAATTGCATAAACAGAAAATACTGAACATAAAATGAATAAACAGGAACTATCTCCACTACATTATGTCATGACGTTCACCTTTCAAGTTAACAGGAGAAGCTGTCATGCCAAAGACAGCAGGTCGTTTATCCTTTGGAGTTGTGTGATAGAATTCAGACATCACAAGTGAATATGGATGTTTCTTTACAGCGTGATGACACTCATCCAAAATAAGAAGATGGATTGCTTCCATTTTTATTATGCTGTGTCTCAGGATATTCAACAAAATTTGAGCAGTCATAACAAGCACCTGCAGATGAAGATCAGGATGTCAATTAGCATCTGCATAACATTAAGACAAAGGCATCAGGTATAAAATCCATCCCTTCAACGTACCAAAAATCAAAACAGAACAGGGAGATGAGGCAAAAGAAGCTACTTACAAACAAATAACAATAGTCCATTTAAGGTGTTGAGCAGTGCATGAACCTCTGTTAAACATTTAATTATTTTCCTATTAGGAGCTGAAAATGTTTAGCGATTTACACTCCACGACAGAAATGTCCTTTCCACCAGGTTCTGCATAAGGACGTGACATTTTAGGATAAATCTGTGTCATTCTTGACTCCCATTCTGCCTTTCCCCATTTGGAACACGGGAAGCTACCCACTTCAACCCTGAAGGTATGAATAACAAATCAATGTAGTCACAATGCCTTGGACACTGATAATTACAACAAGGCATTTTTTTTAACCTAATAAAACCAAATTCAAGAATTGTGCTAATTACGACAGGATGAGATCATATATGAGTTGTAGTAGCCGTCAGTTCAAATGTCAATTAAGTTGTCCCCTACAGAATACTTAAAAAGCGTACTTTTGAGCTCAAAAACGTCATAAATATAAACTTCTTCTCTCATAAGGAGAAGTTTCCGTAGTTCATGTTTGTGAAAGACCAACTTTGATGTGACAAATTTGAGACCAACAAGGATAAAATGTTAACTTCCCCCCTTAAAATATTCTTTCAAAATCAGAAAGAAAAACGGAATAAAAAAAGTGTCCCCCTTCAATCTCGAAAAGCACTACGCACAAAACTAAAATGTTTGTGCAACAAAGCAGCATCACCATATGAACTCTTTTCATTTAGAGAATGGCTTCTAGATTCAATAAGTTATTAGAAATAATCTGTTTCCAATAAAGAGTTTCCACCGTCCTGTTTGATTAATCAACCTCTTTATAGATGTTTACCCTGGACTCCCTTAGAGGGGTTATTCAGGATTAGATGTGTCATTTCTTGGAAGAAATCAAAGACAGGTTAATACATGGGAAATGACATAAAATAATTCAACTTATAACGAAATGAATAATAGGATTTTCGATAAAGTCTCAACTGTAAATTTCATACAGCTTATAGGGAATGTAGATGCAAATTAATACGAGGTTGCATGATACAAAATCATTTGGTTTCCAAGGCATAACTCCCAAAAAATGTTGACGCTGTATTTAATGCCATAATGCATTGCTCCTCTGGAATGTACTCCTCTGTACGGTCATATCATTTTAAGATGAGATATATCTACTACAGACGTTTTATGTCAAATACAATTTCATTGCTTCAACATGCAATTTTTTTGCCAATCACGATGATAACCATACCCAAATTTCACTACAATTTTGATATTCAAATATCATGAATATGCGTCAAAGATTACTTTTCTCGTTACATCATTCTTACTTTTTAATCACATGATGCTTTAATTGGAGCAATTTGACGGTTCATATATTCCCGGCACCCATTCACTTTCCCAGAAAACCAGCCTACCTTATGTGCTAAAATATCCCGGCCTCAGTCCCTTCTTTGTATTCATTTTCCCGAAGGGTGTGTCCTCTATACTCCAGTTCAACGAAACAAACGTAGTGCCACAGTACCTCCATAAAAGTAATACGTAAGGACTATGCAATGTCAAGATAAACTGCAGATTATGGCTAGCATTCCAAAGCCATGCGTAGTACATCCTAATCGCTGACTGATTGCCATCAAAATGGACCTCAGGGAACCTATCCCGTTTGAGGATGGCCTACAATTTAAGGCTTACCAGAATCAACAAGACGGGATTGATATTTGAATATCATCGTGATTGAATATAAAATAGCGAACGCAGATACTGCAGCCAAGGTTGTAATTGAATTCAAATTCAAAACAAAAACAATGCCAAAAAATACTTAAAGCCTTACCTGTTTTGTTTCAAATTCACGCTGCCACCTCCGAGCATCCCAGAAATCTTGACCCATCTCACCACAATAATGTCCTACATTATAGCCAGTTCCATCCCTGATAACTTCCGCTTGCTGCAAAAATAGAAAAATAAGAGAAACAGACCAACAGGAAGGCTCTGAAAAGAGAACTACTGAAGATGTGTTTACCTGATACACCAAGGGAACCTTTGGTACCAAAAATATAGCCAGCATTTTTATTTTATTTTTTTGCATTTTGTGATTGATACTCTTGATGAGAAGCACAGCTATGAGAGTTTTCCCAGCTCCAGTCTCAAGAAAGGCGATTGTGTTTTTCTTCTTGGCCTGCTCAAGAACATCAAGCTGGTACTTCCGAGCTTGCTCTTCAGCTGGCTTCTCTCTCTCCTCCAATAATTTATCATCCTTCTTAACCCTCTCCAGGCCTTCCTGCTTGATTTTCTTCTCCTCTCTGTTCTCCCAGGAACCAACACGGAATACCAGTTTCCCAGATCGGTCCCTTTCCCAAAAACCCTTCCCATCTCTCTCCTTCAAATTCTTCTCCCTGCTATTCCTGACATCCCGATCTCTGGTGTCCCTCCCATCCCTGTCTCTGCTTTGCTTTCTACACCTGTCCCTCCTATCCCTCCAATCTCCATCTTCGATCTCTCTTTTCCTACTTTGGTCCATCTCTCTCCTTCGACCATGGTCACATTCATCCCAGTCACGCACTTGCCTCCTACAGTTTGCATATCGGAGATGCTCGTAACGGCCATAGAGAAGTACCGCATCATTGTTCTCTGTTATAACATTGGTTCGTGCTCTCTTGCTGCATCTCGTCCCGCCATCTCCCATATCATCCCTCCTACCAACATCTTCGCTGTAGTCTCTTCTGCCTTTCTCCAACCCATCTGAAGCTCTCTTCTTATCACCAACGTCACATGTAACATTTGTCACGGCACATTCGTGCACAAACTCTCTTGCCCTTGAATTGTTCTCAAACCGATTTGGCGGTGGTCCAAGCAACCCATCTCCTTTGACAGTATCTGCTGAAGCAACGGCCACCCCAGGTACACCAACCTCGACAGGGGGGCGGTGAAGGAGAGCCTCATTGAAGCTTTCCAAGATTCGATCAAACTCCTTGAAGAAGTTGCCCTCCTCTGCTGTTTGATCAGAAAAGTCCACAACCGACCCCGGCGCAATTGAGGAATCGAAGTCCGAAAAATCGATGCCGCACATCGCGTCATCCTCGCATGCGTCGAACCAGTAAGAAACTGGTTCACCACCACAGAGAATGCCGTTCTTGGGAGCTTCCACAGCGCCGCCTGCATCATCTGGGGAAGCCGTCTGCTCGCCTCCCATCACAACACTCTCTCCTTCTAACTACCTCTGTTCTACTCTCGATTAATGAAAAAAAGAAACAAAGAACCTGCAATCCCACACAGAATAATGCTTTGTTTCGGTTCCAAATCGAAAGAAGCGTGCAAAAACTCCCTCCAGAAGTCTGCAATGGCAGGAGACAGTGACGATAAAAATAAACAAATAAACAAATCAATGAATATGTAGAGGCTGAGAGGGAGGAGGAGGAGGAGACGGAATTCGAGGCGTCAAGTTGTAGGTTTTGCAGCAGAGGGGCGGAGATAGACCGTACGAAGGATGCGAAAGGAGGGAGATTAGGGGAGGGGGGAACGACTTTCCCGATATGTTCTAAGAGCCCTCCCCTCCGCTCCTCCCCTTCTTATTCTCCCTATTCCAGAGAAGGAGAGAGACGATGCGAGATCGTCCCCCTCGTCGTTGATAATATTCCAGAACAAATAATAAAGGAGATTCTTCGACGGTCTATCGACGCGACTCTGCCTTTTCCTCTCCCAATCGCCGTGCCCTTTCGGCTCCTCCTCTCCCTCCCTCTCTCCCTCTCTCCCTCTCTCCCTCTCTCCCTCTCTCCCTCTCTTCTAGGAATACACCTACACCTCTGAGAGAAATAGATCTCCTCTCCTGTCTCCACACCCCACCAATGTCAAGGCTGGGCTTCCTTCCCGTGCCGAGGGGGAAGGAAGGGGAAGAGAAAAGACGACCTTTCGCAGAGGAAACAGAATATATACCGCCACTGGAGTTGTTAGGGTAGAGGACACTTCCAGTGGGCCGCCGCCCGGATATCGCATCGCACGTGCCAGGGCTTCCGTTCCTGCGCCGCCGCTCTCGAACCATTCATTAAGAAGACGGAGAAGAACTAATCCCTCGACACTTCAAATTCCCCTCTTCCAGAAGCCATAATTAGTAGCTATCGATCCCAAATGGAGCTATTTATTTACTGTTTCTGTATTTAATTTGACCCAAATAGAAAGATGAATGATTCCTGATTCTCGAATTCTCGCAGCAGGCGTACTGGACAGGTCGTCATCGTGATGCGGGCCCTGCAAGCGCCACCGCCTAGTCCGCTTCCCGGCATCGACGCGGAAGGCCGTTGCGGGGGGTCCGCCGCCCGCCGCTTGTTGCCGTGTTCTCCCTGCTCCCAACTCCGCCGTACTGACCGCACTTTTCGAGGTGGATCATGTCGCTGCCCCGCCACCAATTTCCCGCTGTCCTCTCCACGGAGTGCGATGGAGTGGAACTGATGGGAGGAGGAAGCTGCTCTCCGTCCATGCGTCCGAGGCGGAAAGGGGGAGGAAAAAGAGTGGACAAGAGCGGAGCGGTCGACGTTTCGAGAATGGTGCAGGACTGGTAATTCTTCCTCGTCTTCGGCGTGCAGAAAAGATGGAATAAAGGGTGGAGAGCGTGTGGGGTAGGGAGTAGAAGGGAAGCAGAGAGAGGAAGGAAAGGATGATGGAAGGGCGCGGCGACATCCGCGTAGTGGGGGACTACATGCTGGGGCCCAAGATCGGGGCGGGATCGTTCGCGGTTGTGTGGCAGGCGAGGCACCGGTTGCTTGGGCTGGAGGTGGCGGTGAAGGAGATCGACAAGAAGCAGCTGAGCAGAAAGCTCAGGGAGAGCCTCTTTAAGGAGATCGACATCCTCCGCAACGTCTCCCATCCGAACATCGTCCGTCTCCACGAGGCCATCGAGGTCCTCTCCCGCCCTCCCTCCCTCCCTTCCCCAACCTTGTCTGTCCCCTCTCCATCCTGCCTCGTATCGCGGCGGGAAGGCCCCGGCTACGCCCTGAACGAACAAGAAAATGGCGTTGGATGACTGGTGGTCATCATGAATTACTCCGCATCCCTGAACCATCTGACAGACTCTCATCTCTAGTTTTTTTAGCCTCTGCGCTCTTGAAGGTGCAAGGATAATAATTCATGTTTTTTTCCTTTCCATCTGATTTCTCTCACGAATATGTGTGCAATGTCTTCAACAGACTCAGGAGAAAATATACCTTGTTTTGGAGTACTGTACCGGAGGGGACCTCGCTGCCTTCATTACCCGTCATGGAAGAGTTTCCGAAGCTGTTGCGAGGCATTTAATGCAGCAACTGGGTAAATGGTCTCCCCGCTTTTCATTTGCATCATCTATTTGGGCCCGACTGTTCTTCTACTGATACTGAGGAACCGCAAGCTAGCATCTGTGGACTAAGAAGCTTTTACCGCACACAATCGAAAGCGCCACCAATCCAAGTTTCTTAACACTTCTTCACTCCTTTTCACTCTTTTCCAGCGTCAGGCCTGCAAGTTCTTCGGGAAAACAATCTTATACATAGAGATCTGAAACCGCAGGTAAAGTGGTCATTCGAGTAACGGATTCTGCTTGCATGGTAGTAATACGTGGGAGCAAGCTTTCTGACATTAGTAGTCGAAAATTCTATTCTGATCCATTTGTTCTTGCCAGAGCCTCGAATTAACAGTCATATTTTTCGTTGGACATCCACAATTAGCCCGAATTTTGGCATAGAAACATAAATACGGAGATTACAACATATGGACGGGTAGCGAAAATGTTTAACTGGTGATGGGTAATATAATTGTCATAGCATGCTTATAATCGGTCGTAGATTATTTAGCTTTATACAATCAAGAGAAGTTTTGGTTTTCTTGTCTCTTGATCAGATAATGTTCAACTCAAGTTGTAGGCGGTTTTTTTGTGTTTACTAAATGTCAGTCAAATTTGCAGAACCTTTTGTTGTCGAGCAATGATGAAAGTTCTGTTCTGAAGATTGGTGATTTTGGATTTGCAAGGTCAGTTTCGATACATTTACAAGATGGATTCTGTAATTTGCTCCGATAAAGATCCCTTTGTAGTTTCCTGTTTCAGATTTTTTTAGTCAGATTACCTCATAACTGAGTGTGAAGGATCCAAGAAAGCATTACATTGTTTTCTGGCGTAAAATATGTCTCCTGTATTTTCTAAGTGTTTATAATAACAGTCAGGGAAGATCTATGTCGGATATCTCCACATGCTACAAACTCGGTTAGATTTGGGGATTTGTGGGACCATGAGCCAGAAAACGGGCACCTATGAACAATTTGAGTGATTTATATGAAACAACTCAATCACTCGATGTACATCTGGATTTTCGAATTAAATGAAATTTTGGGAGCAGAGTCAAATGCAGTTTTAGAGCAACGTCATGCTAAATACTATCAGCGAATCAAACAGGAACTAGACAGATGAATAGCCTTTACTACCGCAACATCAGCGTTATGTACGCTATGTACGTTAAATACTTTTCCTAGTGTCAACCTTAGATCCAGTAATGATTTGGAAGACTGTTCTTGACATGAGGAGTCCTTACATTTTCTGGTGGTCTGGCTTTCTGTTAACACACCAATCCAGACGAAGAACATAGAAGAACAGAGATTGATTAACCGCGAATGGAAGAGGAATCAAGAAGAAGAAGATATTAGACTTCATGCCTAGAAACCCTAGATGTCTTGGTAATCATTCGACCGGTTACCGCTCTCCACTCAGCCCTAAAGACTGGACCCCCCCCCTCTCTCGTCCCCTCTCTTTTCTTAGGTGCCAGCTGGAATATTTGTTAAACCTCTTACAATTTAGGCTTTCTCCATTAAGCCCCTCCTAACATACTTAATATGTTGGGGGCCTATCACTTTCTGGACATCAACCCTTTAAAAGCGAACACAGCATACATGGTCGAGATAACCCATAACGAAAGAATATTCATCAAAATACCTGAAAGACATTTGCTGCACTTTGGTAGAAAAAGAACTTGTTTTGCCTTTGGTTCATTAAACTGAAGAGCAAACCACAAAGTGTTTTTCAAACTTTCAACATCGTTAAGGTGAATATTGAAAATAGAAATTTTGATAAAGAGATCCTGGGTATCTCTACGAAAGTGAAATTCTGCTTGTTTAATCAATTCGTTTTATGGAGAAGAATAGCTCTTGTGTTGCTGCCAAAATGATGATTGGATCGAATTTTACTTTTCTTCTCAGGCTGTTTCTCCTTTGAAGTGTACATTGAGAATATATATTCCTTACAACCATCGTTTGCCTCCAAGTTTCTTTCACCATCCTTCTGGGATGTATGATAAACTTATAATCTCTTTAAAACTTTTAGTTCGATGTACATTTTTTTATATTCTTTGTTGTGCTTACTTATATTTGTGTGAAATATATTTGTACATAATCTCCCATTTTCACATCTATCTGTTTTAACGAGGAACATTTTCTAGGTATTTGATGCCCCAAGGCTTGGCTGATACACTGTGCGGATCCCCATTATACATGGCCCCAGAGATAATACAGAACCAAAAATATGATGCGAAGGTTCTTGACAATGATCTATGTTGTCTATTTTTTCCATCTTCCATTCTTTTCACGTTTTCTATATTCTTCAGTCTTTGGCTGCTTTATGCAGGCTGATTTATGGAGTGTTGGAGCAATTTTATTCCAACTAGTGACAGGCAAGCCACCTTTTGATGGAGATACGCAATTCCAGGCTAGTATTCGAATCAAACATAATTTAATTTCTCAAGCTTCTTTTCTACCAATTCATTTTGTTTCTTATTCTTCGTACTGACATTTGATATTTTCTTACTGTATGATATCTTTGCTTCAGTTGTTCCAGAATATATTGAGATCCAACGAGCTTCAGTTTCCCCCTGATATTCTGGGGGAACTGCATTCTGATTGCATTGACTTGTGTAAAAGACTTCTACGCCAAAATCCAGGTGACAACTTCTCCAGTTTGGCCATGGTCCTGTCTTGTGGCTTTGCACAAAAAGAATGAAGGACACCATTTCTTAGATTAGCATTGTTCTTTGGTATGTTATTGTGTAGCATCAGAATTCAACAATCAAAATCAAGATCTATAATTGTCCACTTAGTCAAATAGACTTTTCTTAAGATGTTGAATAATTGATTGGGTTCAAGTTTGCAGAATCCATTCACAATATGACTAAATATAAATTTCTCTTGGGAAATAGGTGTTTCAGACTGACTTTCGACGAATTGTCTTATTATTTTTTCACTAATGGGATGATCAGCCCCTCTACCTACAAAATAGTATTTGCATGACAACTTTTTTGGCAAAAACTTATAGCAGAAGTGCTTTATTTACGAAGTAAATTGAGTAGAATTTTTGTCTTGGTTTATTTTAATCTTATTTGACTATAGAGCTAGGTACAAAGATGATATTGTATAGAATAAATGACACCAATTTTATTATAGTATGGTCAAATCTCAAACATACTCCGCGCCATTAGGTGGGACAATAGTCTCTCAGGTACTTCCGCATAGTTTCATCTGAACTTATACAAATTTGTTTTCTCGGGGTACTAATAAAACGCTATACTTTTAAGTTAACTTTCTTTGAATACCAATGAAGTATCTCAATCCTTTCTCAATAGCAAGCATAGACAAACAATGATAAACGAAATAAAAATTTTACAATTCATCATGTACAAATGATAATCCAACGACAAACTTAGGCCCAATCAAAACTCGGATACCATTAAAATCTTGTATGCTCAAGGATACTTCTGTTGTTTACTAGGTTAATGCATGGAAGCTTGAGAATCTCCTTTCCTTCAGGATATTTATTGATAGCGATTGTCTATTAGCCATTCCAAAATAGTTGTTGCAAAACTACGAGGATAACTCTACAAGTCCGAGGTCATCGCTTTAAACCTATAACATCTTCTGATGTCAATCCTCTTATTTACAAGGGTCAATCCTTCACGTTCTTTGTCATCAGTAGAGCCAATCTTTATGTAAACTTTTTCTAATTTCCGACATTATTTTTCGGACAAAGGTTAACCTAAGAGCTGACTTCTGTGTAAATGGCTTCATATTTTTTGCATAATGATTGACACATTTCTGTTATGGTTTAACCATCATTTTATAAAAATTACGTGCTCATGAAAGCTTATTTTCTACAAGTAATGCTTTATAATTTTAGGGGATCAATGATTTGGTAAGAACCTAGATCCAGAAAAGAATAGGATTCTTCTTGAGTGGAACGGGAACAAGGATTAGGGGAAGAAGGTGTGAACTGTGGAGAGCAAATCGGTTCTACCACAAACAGGCAGAGAATCTCCGGGAACTTCTAGAGACCAACTGACTTCTCTAACCTTCCCTATACAACTGAGTCCCCTTATTTATAACCCTCAGCCCTCTCCTTCACGCATGGATGCTTCTTAACTTCCACATGCTTGGAGAGTTATCATGGTTATCCTATTACCTTCACTTTTTGGTCAACTTTTGTCCAGAAAAGCTTTCATCTTTTTACCTAAATTAGTATCAGAATTCAAATTTTTTAATCTTCAAAACAACTTATTAGTTTCAAAAAAAATTGATATTTCCCTTCAGATTATTTGATATTTTGGGTTTAGATTTATGGAAAATTTGCTTGTAAATTTATCTTATGATTCAAACTCTTAATTGCTGTCGTGAAAGATTTCATTTTAATATCTTATGTGAAATGAAGTGTGCATATAATGCAGTTGAGCGGCTGACATTTGAGGAGTTTTTCAATCACAAGTTCATGGCCACTGAAAGGTTAGAATCAAACCCATGCCGCCATCATTTGTTTCAATCGTAAGTTCATGGAATATTTCACCCTATGCACGATTTCCAAATTTGAGTGAATTCTATTGTGCTATATCGTTATAAATTAAATAACTGTAGAATTATTTCCTTCTGTGCACATGCCAAAAGTTTTTATCAAAAAGATGTTAATTATTCCATGATAATATCATGGAAGGGCATTTGCTAAACCGTGTCATGTATGACAAGCAGAACTGCTAATGGATTACAGCATAATTCTGGGAACGAAGAATCGAGGAAACCAGTTGTTGGTGACCCTTTATCTCTGGGATGGGATAATAGCACATTATTCTCGGAGAAAAGCACAAGTATTTTGAAAGGTTAGATTCCATAATGGTTTTTTCCGGATTTACGTTTTTAATTTGCTGTTTTCTAGCAGCTTACTTTATCTGCACTTATGTCAGCTGGAGACTCATTAGAGTCCATTGAACGGGAATACGTTATTATCAATACCAATTTTTCTTCAATGGATACCATATCCACATTACTTGAAGCATCTCTGCTGGATAATTCCACAACCAGATGTTCTATCTACAAATTCAATAAGATTGGCATGGGTACTTGTGCTCAACTTCAGAATCGAGGCCTTGCCCTTGGCTCCCTTTGTGTTCTAGAAAGTGCATTGGGTCATTTTTATAATCCAGACAATTCACCATCATCGGAATTAAATGCAAAACGACTACTTTTGTCTAGTTCTTCACGAAGGCTTCAATTACTATGCAAGTATGCTCATGCTCTTTCAGAGGTTTCCAGAGAAAAGGTACCAATGTCTGTATAATATCACTTCTGAATGTGGTGGCTAATATTAAGCTCTGTGATATCAGCAATAGAGGAATGAGAATTGTATTTAATATGTTGCATTGTAACTAGTTGGCATTTTTTCAGTGCTTGATTCCATGTGAAAGGGCCGTTTATTTGACATCGTGAAGCCATTTCCTTTAGCGTGTACGGTTCCACGTTGTATCAAGAAAAGATATCCAATGTGCAAATGTGTAGGGGCCAGAATCCTGAAATATCAATGTGAGGCTAAAGTTCTCTTTTGTCTGTGGTTACCAAAATGTAACATGTGAAGGATCGGAAGAGAAACTGTAGTTGATTTGTTTTGGATGATGTCAACAAGTAATGCATCTTCCTGTTGTGTGTAGCTGTGCTTTCCTTCTGATTTTGTCGAGTTTTTTTCCCTCTTAAATTTTAATGCCTTCACTTGGATTGCCATTTTAGTATGTCTACAAAGGACCCTAGGATTAAAAGAATGACTTTTAGTCCGTTATTTGATAGACACAATTTAAGCGACTCATGAAATAAACAAGCTCACTCATGCAACACTATGGCTTTAAGATTGTTGTTCTAGTCGTGGCTGGCTGATGCAGCCTAGTCATGCAAATGGGTCGGTTATTCATGGTTGGGATGTGCGTGAGGGTTGACGGAGTTTGTCATATTAGGGGCTGAGGGTGCAAATGTTATGGAATCAGGACGATTTTCGCAGTAACTTGGCTATATCAGTTGCGACTCATGCCTGTATCACATGATGTATAACCACGTACAACTTAAGCCGGTGTGAGTTGGGTCGGCCTAACTTGACCTGATTGTTGCTGCTGTACATGAGTCGTCTGCTGCTTTCATTGCCTTCTTCCGGGGCCTTACCCCTGTTGTAGAAGAAAATCATTTCCCCCTGCTGCTCAGAAACATTGCCGTCCTTACCTCTCCCTGCCCACCACGCTGTGCTTGCTTCCTCCCTTTTTTTTCCCTCAGTTGCCTCCACTGGTTCGGATGGAAAGGGGTCATTGGGAAGTTTGCAGGTATACATGATGAAATTTTTATCAATGTCTGTTTTGGACTGTCCTCATTTTGATGAGAAGATTATGGATGTCTCATTTTATTTTTATATAGGCAATCATGAATGTTTTATTGTTTTTTAGAGTATCCCTAGCTCATGCGATTTGTGTGAGCCTGGTCAATATCCTTCAATATTAGTTTAGGGTTGATTCCGTCTTGAGCCAATATAAGTTCGGTAAACATAGCTTCATCCGGCATTTCCTTTCAGACTTCAGTTGTTTGAACCGTAATGTGTAAGGCAACTACATGAACTAGACACTGCAGCTCACCGTGGGATTCTTTCTCAACTTTGAATATGAATTAATGCTCAGTGAAGATCGGATGAGGTGATTCGTACTGCTTGAGATGTGGAACGCTGTTACGCATAATTAGTCAGCCTTTATGAACTGTTGCTGATCACACTTATATTGGATCTCATATCTTGATTAAGCATTACATCTCTTGCAGCTTAATGAAGGACAACATGCGGAGTCATTTTCAGTTGAACTTGTAGTTTTAGCTTTGTGGAAAGACGCTCTTCGACTCTGTAGTGATTGGTTGTCATCAGCAATCGAAGATTCTTTTCGTTGCTGCTCAATCAATGACCAGCAATCAAGTCAGAATGAGAAAACTATGTCCTTGGGTGAATGTGTCGGCTTCAGGACACCAAGAAGTGTTTATGCCTGGGCAGAGCAAGGTTTTCTCGCCGCCTTTGATCGGGCTGAAATGATATCCAATGAACTTCGACATATGGACGGTTAGATTCAGAGAAATTTGTTTCGTTTACTTATTTCCCTCTATATGAACTCTAAAACATCAAAAATCCACCACCTGTGCCAGGTAATTCAGAGATGCCTGATGCTTTGGAAATCATATTCCAGTCAGCCCTCTCTGCAGGGAAAAATGGTGCAGTAAGTAAATACATTGCTTTATTCATCACTTACTGCTTCTTGCTGGGTGAAGGATGGATTCAAAAAGAAAATTCTCATTCCAATGTGCATTTTTCTTTCCTGAAATCTGCTCAGATGACTCGCCCATTGCTTTGATGCAAATGGACGTCAGAAATATGCATACATGTTGAGCATCCCGGTATGAACGTAGTGATGTTCCATAGTGCTTTGTCTTCATTCATTCGTCATTTTTTTTCTTTTCTTTAGATATATTAGCCCCTAGGACGTAAGAGCTACAAGTCTTTTAAAAGATGTAAGCATAATCAGGGACCCATTGAGAGGTTTTGCATGGGTACAGCCACACGCTCAAAGCATGCCCAGCAGACTCTTTGCCTCTCTAGATTCGGCATTCATGACGAGCGAGCCGTGAGATGTTGGAGTAACTCTGCGCGATTGCTTCATCTTTTTTCCGAATGCCCTGAACTTCTTGATGAGCGGGCCTCCTCTTCCTGTTTACATTTTCTTTTTCTTTTTCTTTTTTTTTCCATCCGACTGATCTCACGGCTCCACTCTTATGGTTTCGTTGTTTCAGGTGGATGAATTCATGGGAAATGGAGACAGTGCGGTGGTCGCGTATTCAAGGGCCACGATTCTGCTTTCATTTATTCTGACAGAAGCTCAAACACTACAGTTGAACCCTCCATTCTCTCTATCAGCATCTGATCAGCAGAGGATATTCACGTACATCAGCACCCTGGAATCCCACCTAAACCGCTCCCGAGGGCTCCATCTACCAGCCGAGGAAACTGATCACGCGTAGTCATCTTGTGAAACCCACTGATCGTCTCCAAGAAATCGTTCTCAGACTCAATGCTGTTCATTCCGTGAATTCTGGTGAGAGAAGAATTTCTATGTAATTGTTCATAAAACACTGTACAACAATACCAATAGTTTTCAGCTCTCTTGCAGGCCTCACTAATCGGGCAAACAATTGAGAGGGAGGGCTCTGCTGATGTTGCTTGATCGCATATACATTCTCCCAGCTCTCCGTGACCATAAGCTATCTCGAAAGCCCAAGTTTTGTTGTCTTAGTAATTCAGGCCTGGCATTGAAAGCTGGTGTCACGACCATGCCTGGTTCTTCTAAATGGAGAAGGGAATGAAGACCACTGAGGAAGCAGGTCATTAAAAGGATGCGACTGTAGGAAAAAACGAGTAGACACAGAATCGCCCTCTCTTCTGTCTGCGTATGTTTGTATTGATATCAATATATGGATTGAAAGATGAACTGAACTGATCTTGAGCTTCGTGCTGATAGACGAGTATGATCACACAGAACAAATATCAAGCACATTTACATTCGTGAAAAATCGCGGGCAGAGCCCGGGAAAGGTTAAAAAAGTACACATGGAAATGGTCCAAGAGTCCAAGTTGCATCACTTCTCGATCATGAATAAAAAAGCAAGGCACCGTACGTGATCACGTCGAGGCCTCCCCCTCCAGACGTATTCTCTTGTTGTCCTTCTTCTCCACGGGCGTCGCCCTACTGTCCTTGGCCTCCATTGAGCACCTTTTATAAGGCTTGAATCCTGTTCTGCGTGACTTCAGCCTGCCTTGTCCGATTTCGTCTGTGAGAAGAGCTTCCTCCGTGGTGCTGCCACCCCTCGGGACGGGGTAGCTCCGACCAAGTACGTGGGCGAGATCGTCGCCGGTTGCCGCGCAGACTTTGCTGTTGAGATCCACGGTCACGTCGGCGGCGTCTCCCTTGGGCTTGTCCGGAACCCCTTCCTTGGGATGTGGCGGTGAAAAGCTCTGCGGGAGCACTTCCCTTGAGAACAGTGCTTGGAAGGCAAGCCGACCCTGGAATAGACAACCAGTGATGTATCAGAAAAGCAGTGGAATCATATTGTTGTGTGGTGTAATCAGGAATAGATCTGCCGGTGATAACCTCTTGGGAGACTTCTTTCCAAGATTCACCCACACTGCCGCCGCCTCTCAGCCTACGGTTGCTGGCGTCGCCGCCGGAAGGAGGATGACACAGATGGGTTTCTTTCGCCGGAAGGAGGATGGCCTTCTCGAGGTTCAACACGACGTCAGTCTCCACATCACTGCTGGAAGGAGTATTGGAACCGCAGGAGGAGCGATCGGCTTTCTTCTTGCTTCTTCCAATGTCGGATTCACGAACCTCCCTGGAGTCCGGCGCGGGATTCAGCTGGTTCACTACCACTGCAGGGGATTTCAGCTCCGTGATGGGGGAGCTTCCGGCTTCCCCGTTCTCTTCGGAATCCGACGACGACAGGGGAGACAGTTGCTTGTCCGGAGCAGGGGATCTGAGATCAACAGGCCGCGGGCCCGACCATGGCTGACTGGGTGTGGCATCTTCCTTCCTCTGGGTGTCGTCTTTCGCTGCATGGGCGGTCTTGGTTCTGGGGATGGCGCTTGTCGGCGCCGGAGCGAATGCGAAGCCGCCGTGGAAAGCAGCAGGAGGAGGGCAAAATGGCAGGAGCCCGTGGGTCGCCCACCACGCCGACGCCGCTGCGACCGTAGCGGCGGCGATTGCGGCCATGCTCGGAGAAGGGTTCATCTGTCTCATGGGGATCCCCCCAACGAAGCTCTCTGAAGCCGAACCCGTCGAAGCTTCAGCATCTGCGGTCGGCCAGAAGGAGGCTGCCACGGTGGCCGCTGCATGGACCGCAGGATTCTGCACCAGGGTGGAAACGATGAGGCTTGAAAATGCAGACGACATGTTGGGAGCGTCCTTGCCGAACTGAGCGAAGGGAGGGAATGCAGCGAACGGCTGATGAACAGAGGATATTGACGTGCTGCCATGGTGCTCCGTCGTTCCTGAGATGGCCGGGGCTGGGCTCCCCCCGGCATTTGCATGAGCTCCTGCTAAGTTAGAGAGCGATGTAAGGGTTGTTGCATAGGAACCTGGTTTGTTCTTCTCTCCTCTTACTGAATACACGGGGGCATGGTCCGGATGCCTCTTACTGCCCTGAAGACCTTTCCTCGGCGACGCACAGAGATTCGGCGGCTGGCTTGGCCACATAGATCTTTCCTGCGCCAGTTTAATCTGCGTGTCAATGCTGAGCCCCTCGAATCCCCCGATGTCCAGGTCTGTGCCATCTCGCACCCCGCGACCTCGGACTACCGGCGGAGGGTGCTGCTCACTGTACCCAACTTTGGTCTTAGTTTCCTTCCCCGGGGGAACGAATTCCCTAAACACGCCTGCTGCAGGATGCTTGCTTGCAGAGGAGATGGAAGCGCATGGTGCGTCCTGAAACAGAGAAAGGACCACTGAACACTTGCTGTCATCAGATCCCGCTTTTGGCCTTCCCAATGTCTGATCTCCGGTGTGCTTCTGATCAAAAGATTAAGAGGAGAAAGAACTAAAACAAAAAGAGAGATATTGAGGGAAGAGGAAATCCAGAAAGAAGGGGGGAAGAGACCTGTTGGACTGAGGGATTAGATAGACAGACAGACAGACTGGTGCGTACCTCGTGAGACCCATCGATCTCCATGTCCAGAAGATTCTTCTCGGAGCACACTGGACTGGAGGCCGAACGTCTGTCTTGTTTTCCTTTCCTGGAGGAGGAAACACAGGCAGACGTCTTTCGAGGATATGGGTTGTTCGGCTTCCGCTTTGGGCGCGGAGGAGGGATCTCGATGCCATGTGCTTGTCCCAAGGGGATGCCTTTGATCAGCGCTTCCTTTTCTAGCTGGAAGTTGATATTGCGTTAGAAACTGAAAGCTTCATACCCATCGATGAAAACCTCTCGTGAATTTCTTCATTCAGGAGAAAAAAAAAGGACAAATAACATAGGCCACACCATGTGAACTAACAAAAGGAATCAATACTATGCGCGTCGCAGTACACTCAATCTCATGACTGATGTCTAATGGGTTGATTGTTTGGGTGCGCAAATAAAATCAAAACTAGGAGGTCATCTCACCCGCCTGCATCTCCATGGATTCAGAAACAAAACACGCAAAAATGTGCATGCCCGTTGCAGGCACTGGCAAACGTCATGCATCTATGGGGGAAAAAATCAAGCAAGGTATATGAAAGGACCACGTTCTTTGCTGCAAGCATGCTTGGTCGCGGCTTATGTCGGATGGTGTTGACGAGCAGCTACTCAGCATTCGTAGCTACGACTAGTCAATAAAAAAAGACCAACCCAAAAGGCTAATGAATGCTTTAACGTTTGACTGTAAAGAGACCGAATGTCCAGTCATTCGTCAACTTTTGTTTCTTCACCAAAGCATAAAGCCGTCAGGTTTTTTGTCGTTGATCAAGAATAGTGATCAAGAAGAAAGATGTTTGTGGGTTCCCATCCTGGAGCGGGTTGGTACCATGGTCGTCAACATCTACTTCCCTGTTGACCTTCTGCCCTCTAGGCTTCTACATCAGTTCTGACTAATTGGCAGAGCACATTCTCTATATTTTAAAGCTTGCAAAAGAACGATCCTCCCTCCAAAATGCACAAATTTAGATAGACTGTTCACACGGTCTTCAAAACTTGGTACCATTCATGAAAGGATATGATACTATTACTCAATCGCACCTCATCTCCAACAGTGCTCCAACTAAGAGCTCGAGTCGCAGAGTATTTATTTGTGAATAAATTTGACCAAACGTCTGTTAAACATGTATAATTCAAAATTACTCCCCCAACAGTAAGTATCCCGTGATGTTTGAGATCATGTAAAATTTAAAAACAAAAAGGCTGTTTTGGCCCAGCAATAACACCAAGCGTCACTGCGAGGCCAAAACAGCCCATTGACAGCTTCTTGCTCGACTTTGCGCAGAATTTCTCCGGAAAATAGGAAAAGGTTATGTGCCGTCCATTTGTTTAATTTCATAGGCCTTGTTCAGCCCATTACCTGATACTATCAGAGTTCTCTTCAACTGTCATGCACCAGCTACAAAATCAACTTATAATGTATTCCTCCTGCAAAACCCTAGCATTCCCATTAATAATTGTCATGGGATCATTTGAAGCCAGATATATTCGTCCAGCGTTGAAACTCGTTGAAAGCACTTACTTCCTTGGTGCACATACGACAGCTCGACACCTTGACTTGGATTTCCCCTCTTCCTCCTTTTCCAGCTCACTGATACGCTGTTCTAGAAACTTTATATTCCAATTACTTGTTGTAACTGGTAATAATAGCTGTCCTCAAATCCCCTATTTCGTTTGGAGAAAATCAGATCCAGGACTACGGATAAACTTAAACCATGAATATGTTCCGCCCTAGTTTGTGTAGATGCTATCTGGGATCTTAAGTACCTGAGCAATTCTACCTGGGTCCATTAGAAAGAAGGGAGTTCCTTCCTGGAGTCCTTTCACTGAAAATTTTCAACAGATAATGTGTCAAAATATTTTTCACATTTCACAGATGGAGGGGATATCTGACAAACAGGAACACATAGAGACCCCCTTCATCATGAAAATTTCATTGATACAGGGTTAAAACGAAATGTTCTTTTCAACTGCCTAGAGACATACAAGTTCGACTCATCGCACTGCTGACCGAGGATAAGGAGACAAACCAAGGTAGGAAACCTACATAGAGCACTCCTGTCAGCGTCCACTCTCATTATTTCGTCTACTCTTAACCCACTCTTCTAAGTCCACTTGGTTGCTGTTGCTGCGCATACACTACATTTATGCAGTTATCCAGTTGCCAGTCAGCACCAGATCTCTCTGGGACCGGGAGACTAACAAGATCGAAGGACTTCTCTTTCCATCCTACTCCAGGAACAATTCCTCAGCAACCACGGGAATTTAGTTGAGCCCTCCACTTCCAACATTCTTGAGGTTAGTCGCCAGAGTCTGGGAGAACCTACTTATATTGTAATCTCATTCAATACAACCATTTATGCAATGCAATATCTCTAAGCATCCAATATATTATTCGATACACAGAAATTGAATCAGGAGATTCTCAGGTATTATCGTACAAAGCTCCTTCAATACAACCATTTGGTTTCCTTCTTTCTCCTGTCACCATGATTCCCCCTTCTCTAAACCTACTTTCCATTTGATATTCCTTCTGTTCCCACTTTATTACCACGCCAGTAGAACTACCCTTAAAAAAATTATAGATAGAAACGAAGCCCTTCACACTAACTTGTACCGCACTGTTTAGTAGCTTCTCATGATATATTTTGATGACAAGGACAATGAAATCCTAGTCATTCATGATATGTTTTGATGATGACCATTTTCAGTTGAAGGGAGCCTCTGAGGATCTCCCACTAGTTACATGATCATACATTCTGCAACGAAGTGAGTTTGTCTTAGCTAATTTTTTAAAGAACAATTGAGTCCTTTCTGCCCAAAAACGTTAAAAGAGAAGCAAAAATAATCTTGTCTTAAATAAGTAAACCAAATGAAAGAAAATCGGAAACAAAACCAAAATCTAATAGAAAAATAATGGAAATGACGGGAGTCTAGGTCTCAATTGTGTCGGAACAACATTAGAATTTTATTCCATAAAGAAAAGAATGAAGTAAATAGCTGGCGGAGCTTCCAAAGGGAAGGGTCTCGGAATTGAGTATAACCGCATTTGCAAAATGACATATGGATCCCGTGTATAAATTTTCCCAGACATTTGGGTTAAGGCAATTTCTAGATTTGATTGCTTGGATATAACTGTCAGCCAACAACTTGGTACCGCAATACCTAAGAAACATTCCACTGTCTTCATGAGCATCTACACTTTTGATATGAGATCGCATTTCCTTTAAGCTTTCCTCATGATAGCCATGTTCTCTATTCAAAATTTAATATGTAAATTCATCCATATCTCCTTCTCTTTTAAAATCGTACGGATACTAAGTGGATCAAAATTGAATAACTAAAAGAATATGTGATATGAAATACCCATATATTTTTTAACATACAATAGAATGAAATTGGTCAATGTGGAATTTGATAAGGAATATAGCAGGTATATTCACCATGAAGATTAGCAAACACAGTCAGACCTTACCAATTAACTAGTACCCACGAGGTTCCTCATATCCCCATAATGCTTCACCTTTGTCAAACCACACAATATTAGATCTTCTCTCACTACATCCAAAACTTATGCCGTAACTTTGGCACCTTGGACTGGACATATGGACGCCCCTGTCATGATTCCACACTGGACTAAATAATTTGCTCTCGTTTCTCAACTTTATGCCTAACAAAGTAGCTTCTCATATGCTGACTCATAAATAATGAGGTACAAAATATGCAGAAACTCCACTTCAAAAAGGTTACAAATTTATCAAAGTCCAGCCCCCATCTCATACATAATAGTAGTTAGGATACTCGAAATTAATTGTGATGTATAGAAACAATTGAAATTGTCGCCATACAATGCATTAGTGATGCCTAATTTGCTAACTTCCACGAGGATTACCTCTACTTCATAAGTACACTTTTGACCTGGAGGACTTATTTTCCATATTTTACCAACCTGCACTTACAAGCAGGAATGAAGCTTAAAAAATCTCTTTTTAAAAGGGAAAAGCTACATAATGGCAAAGTCAAATATTCAGAGAAACTTCCCTGTCATGACATTGGTCATCAAAAAAAAATTCTGAGCATCTTAATACTGATATCCAATAGATGAGACCGCGAAAATAGACACGAATAAATTAAACAAACCTGAAATTTGCTTCCTTTTTGCAGGAACCGATGAACTATAAGGAAAACGTAGAAGTGATAGAATTCCAGTCAAGCAAACGAGTACAGACCTTCGAGAAAAACTTCTGAGCATGACTCCTAATTTGAACAGCGGTCTTAGTGCCAATATGCTCTGTAAGGTATTCAGAAGAAGATACAGAAAAGAGAGAGATGAACGTGTGAGTAACGAAACATAGATCTCAGAAGTATCTCAGACGTGAGATGAACGTGTAAGATTATCATCAAGGATCTCGGAAGTCCGAATCTCTCCCCATTAAAAAGACCTATTTCCCCTAGAAAGAAAATTTAAAAAAAAAGGTCATTTATGATTAATTATCCACTATTTTCAACAGAAATTCAAACAGCCATCAAAACTAAATAGATATTTTTTGGCAAATACGCTAGCTTTTCGTTTTCTTTCCCTTTTCTTAAAAAAAAAAAGTGGGAACTGAGAAGGTAGCATGTTTATCAATCATTTTTAACCTTCAATGCGTTGCCAAGCTCTCCCATAGAGTTTCAAAGCTTCTAGGAACCTGCTGTGTTCCTCCTCAGTCCATTTTTCCCGCTGCTTCGTGATAGTGTACGGTTTCCTTGTCTATGTCGGTAACAATAGTAAAAGCTCCGTTGTGAGAATAACAATATTAATAAACCATGAAAATATGGATCAATAAGACTGTCATCCGATTTTATCACGTTACAACCTTTAAGATCAAATCCTCTCCAGAGGAACATGTATCCATTACCGCGCTCTTCTAAGAAGACGATTCACAGAGATGAGTGGAACAAGAAGATTGATTCACTGTAAATCATCAACGACAAGCATCCATCCTTCTTCTATATCTCCGATCAGACGTTCAACCTGATAACCTCATGGGCAGACACACACAACTGTAAAACGTGAACACCGTCAAGATACCAAGGAAATAGTAATAAACGGTTGGAATATTTTGTTAGCAACAATCATACCGAAGAGCATACGCATGTGAAAGCCAATCGGACCGCAAAAGAGAGGTAAAATCGAAAGATGGTGTTTCACCATCGCCTCGAAACAGAAGAAACATACGAAGGCTATCTAAGCAACCCCATAACATTCAAAAACCCCAGAGGAAGCGAAAATCCTACAAGAATCGGGGGCACGCACCTCCCGCAACCTCCCTTCAAAAATTTAAGCCAGCGAAGAGGACACATTTCTACTGATCCGCTCTCCTCCTCTTCCTTCTCATCGCTGCCTCCTCGTCAGCTCTAGATCGAGAACTGGCGAGCTCCCGCGGCGGCGCCGGCGCCGGCGCCGGCTTCCCTCAGGGCCTGTATCCGCCGGCAGAGGAAGCAAAGAAGAGGCGAAGTGTCCCTCGGCGACCGGCTAAAACCAGGTTGGGTTTGCCCCGCCGTAGGGATGAATCTCAGCCACTACATTCTCGGCGCGATTTCTGGGCCATCGAAATCTTATTTTTCTATTCCAGAAAGCGAGAGGCGTAAGCCCCCAGATTTTGGTGGTCTGGGGGCGATGCTGCCACGTGTCGATGGCACATTGGTTAAATCACGCCAGGCGGCTCTTTTAAACAGGCCTGGACGAGCGGGGGCAAGAGGAAGGCCCTCCCTGACCACAATTGCAGGGATGCCGTGGGGACGTATCAGGAAATCTATCTCCAGACCAATAAGGCGCCACGTGGCTTCTGCGGCCACCGGGACCCTGATTCAGATTCTGTCGCGCTGATGTCGTGGCGACTAGGATCGCTGGGGCGACGTGGAGGCTTTCACGGGCGCCACGTTAGGGTATGTCTAACAGGCCCGATTGGAGCTCGGAGGCCCACAACCCATCCAAATCTTTCCATTCGTCTCCGTCCTCATCCGTCTCGCCACGAAATATCTCTGTTTTATCTTATAAAAATTTCCACTTCCGTCAGTCACTGGTCGAGTGGTCCGGATCGGGTCCATGGGAAATTTCCCAATCTCCGGTTCTACGCCCCTACCTACATCTCTCTCTGTCTACTCATCGTATGCCTCGTAAATGATGAGCAAAAGTGAATGGTCTCCCATTAGTTTTATAACTAGAGATTCTCTACCAGTCATTACAAAAGGCTAGGCCTCTAACATCTAAAAAGCAAGTCTCCCTGTAGCTTTTCCAGCTTTATGTTTTTCGCTGACGAACAGTCACAGAATTCAAAGTCTTGCCCCCCAGAAATATTAGACGTCGGCCATTTATTATGCTAGATTAAGTCGAGTTTATAATGTTCCTCCGATTAACTGTCAACATTAAGAATGTGGTTTTTCTTTTGGTCTGTACGGAGGCATAGAAAGTAGGAGTAGATAAGGTCCAAGGGAGGGTCTCGCCTTGTACTAATAAAATATGATTTATTATATTATTCTGTGTTAATTCTTTTTCATGAGTTAGAGGTAACAAATGGAAGATTTTCATAGCTTAAAATAGTCAAAATTGAAGATAAAGAGAGAATTATTGGTTCTCAAAACCCATGGGGCAATTTATATAAATAGGTATGTATACATATCTTAATAAAACTTGCATTGATAAGTTGAAATCACCGTAATAGAATAAAAACACTTGCAATTATCTTTGTATAGTTTTTTGAGACAATAGGAAGGCAACCTCACCTTATGAATAAATCTTATATCATGCTAAATCATAAAATCGAACTAAATTAGGGCATTAAATTATCGTAAAGCATTCTAACCACATCTTTAACCTAGAAAGCAAAAAATATATAAATTATTGTATACTAATATGTTTTTAAAATATTTAATTCTCCCCACTTTTATATGTATATTGATAGCCAACGTACAGAATTTTCATGGATCATAATCTCAGATAGTATGGTGTGAACTACTACTTGAGGTTAGCAAATTTTGAATGTCATATTAGTCCAAACTACTACAACCTTAGCCATTGGTAAATTCTAAGTTACTTTATAGCCATTGTATATAATCTAGAACATGAAGCAACCGATATTACTTAATAAAAAGGATTTTAAGAATACATTGGAATCTAACAATCTATTACGCCTCCCTCCATGTGTATGTTTTCCTTGTCATGGTTAATATATTAAATCTTAGGTGTGCGCGGCCAGTTGTGAGACACGTCGTCAAGTGTATGATGCCAGTTGTGATTCGACGTCGTACCGCCGCTTGTGATAAGACGTTAGTGCGCGCGTCCACTTTGGCAGGCCAAGGGGAATATGGACAGCTGTGCTGCTACCCGCAAAAAAACGAAATTTAAAATTTTTTGGATAGTCAATGGAACATCGGGCGGCGGCTCTGACGGGCGCGTCAGGCAATCTCTGCCTCACTTGGTGAACTCCATGATCCAGACGTTCAAGGCGGTGCTCACCTTGGCAAACCCCGAGAACCCCGCGGCTTTCGCCAGCGACTGGAAATCCTTCTCAGTCCTTTCTTTGCCGCCGGGGTTGTGGGCGAGCATGATCATGTCCATGTGGAACAGGCCCTGCGCCTCCTTGGTCGTCTCCGGCGCCTCCGGCAGAACGCCCTCCATGACGATGACCTTCCCCTGCTCCGGCAGCGCCTTCCAACAGTTCTTCAGGACCTTCAGGCAGTGCTCGTCGCTCCAGTCGTGAAGGATCCACTGCAAACACAGTTCCGACAGAGCGTGACTAATCGATGAAACGCTGGAGGAGATTGGGAAGACAGGAAGCGGGGAACTCGACGGGAGAGTCGGTTACCTTCATGAAGATGGCGTCTCCACTGGGAACGCTCTCGAACATATCGCCGCCAACATGCTCCACGCCTGGGCCAAGAAAAAAGGACAATTCTTTCCATTAACGCCTACCCACCGTTCGTCCGTCGTAAGGAGAAATTAGTGGATGTGAATGGGTCGGGGAACTGTAGCTGTGCTGGTCTCTGTCGTACCTGGGAAGGACGGCGCATCGGCGATGACGTGGGGGAGATCGAAGTTGATACCCTTGATGGATGGGTGCTTGGAGATGATCATGTTGAGCGTCGCGCCGATACCCCCGCCAACGTCCACCAGAACACCGAGCCCGTCGAACCCCCGGTAGATCTCAAGGAACTTCTTCATGTTGATGGTGGAGTGGTGGGACATGCCGGCATTGAACACCGTGTTGAACCTGGGGTCGGTCCCATGGTACTCGAACGCCGTCATTCCGTAGGCCTTGTTGAAGGGGATCCCCCCCTGCAGAACCGATTCCTTCAAGTAATACCAGCTCTCCATGAGAATCTTGTCCTGGTTCATGAGCGCTAGGGCGGCTATGGAGACGCCATCCTCGTTCGGTGTGAGGAACCTTGCGACAGGGGCCAGGCCATAGCGTCTGCGGACCTTTCCGCCATCGCCGTCGACGACGGAACAGGTGAGGATGGAGTAACTGGCGAGGAGGCGGAGGATACGGTCGACCATGACGGCCGCGTCCGGGTTCTCCGTGGGAAGCTGGGCAACAATCTCCTCGGGGAAGAGTTGCGCTCCGGAACCCCCCCGGCTGATGATCTCAAGGAGGTTCAACTCGATGGCCGCCTTGAGAGTCATCGGGAGAACGGACGCGCTGGCCAGCTGCATGGCGTAGGTGCAAGCCTCCTGCTCCTCCTCCAGCAGGGTCATCCTCGCCTCGTCGGGGACAGATCCCATGGCTAAGGGATGGAAACTACGATCTCCTGTGAGACGTAGTAGAACGCGGGGAGGCAACCTCTGATTTGATCTGTAGACTGCCGACGCCTCAGTTTATATTAAATTTCTCTAAGACCATTCTCACGCCACCAACCCCGACCAGGTCTCCTTTTCCCGGCCTCGTGTTTCCGGATCCAGAATAAATTAATCTCCACGTAATCTCTACCGATTGGGTATCTATCTCTTCCTCTTTCTCTGCCAAGCTGACTGTGTCCGTCCCTCTCTACTGCATTGCAGATGCCCATTAATTTGTTACTTAGCTAGCCGGAACTTGATCTGCAGGGTCGTTGTTGCTCGTCGTATCAATTGTGTCCTTCACATGGGTCACTAAATGAGCCTTGTTGATTGGGCACCTGCACTCGTTCACGGGAAGGACGGCGGCCGCCAAAAAGTCTACACGTCTTCTTCGTCCACCAAACCCTTCAACAAAATAAGCCGGGGGGGGTGGGTGGGTGGGGGACCGTAGGCGGCTAGTGCCGATCATCCCTCCCTTGACTTTGACTGATAAAGTAAAAATAACTAAAATGTTTCAATAGTAACCCATTAGAACTAGGCCGAGTTATCGGAGTGTTTCGAAATAACCCATCTTTCGACTGCGTTGAAGTCGAGGTAACTTATCCCGGCTTTTATCAAACCGAAAACTAAATTAATAAAAACGCAGCCTATGAGGGGGAGGGAGGGGAGGGAGCTAGAGAGTATGTCTTTTTATCTCCCTCTCTGCCAGTGGATCAATCTATCTATGTTCTCGAATCAAGGCTGTTTCGGTTCATCATTATATCTGTCGAGAGTCTCGGCCATTCATACACATAGTGGAGCCATCTTGGTTTCTGGAATCTTTCTGAAACGTGAATACAAGGTCACCCTAATGATAATGAGCTTGCCCATCACAAACATCCTGGGAAGGGTCTATTTTTATGAGCACTCCGTTCAAGTCAACCCACTTCTATAAGCACTAATCAAATGGTGTCAACCCACCTCTAGTTCGTTATGGCTTTGGGAGAGTAGGTAGACATGCTTTAAAACTACATCTGCTAGACTGACAACATAGCTGTTGAGAGATAATAAGACAGGCTTCCCACTTTGCCCCACCAAATTCACAGCCCTCAAGGGTGAACGACACAAGCTTGTGAACGACACTTGCCTCACTAGGTTCATTGTTCATGAGGATTCAACTATCAGCCTATTACCACTGCTCCACAATTCTACATTCACATCTCTAGAACAGACCATGTACGCCCAACACTCACTACGAGTGGTAGTCAGTCACCTACCATTGCAAAGAAAATGAGCGTTTCAAGCTTGACAATGTTAAATGATTTTTTTTCGTTAAGCATGGAATATAACTTTAAATGTGGAAGCCTCAACTTGTCAATGTAGTAACTTTATATTGAGAAAACTGAATAGATTGAAAAACATTTTTATATTGACGATTTTATTGTTTTTTTTCACTTTAGTGGTAAAAAATATGATTGTTCATATCTATTATAATGGTTACCTAAGACCACCTAATGTGTAAATTGTAATACGACAATGCAGTGTGTGCCTTATACATTCTAACCTATGTTGTGTACCATAGCGAGAGTCATATCATGCATGTTGACATTAGGAACAAAACAGATGGGGGCATGAGTTGGTTGACAAATAGTGGTTTTCCTTTCCTAGGGTCCTCTAATAGCTAGAGTATACTCTCTAGGTTCTGCTAACCACAAATAGTATGACAACTAGCTACCAGATGTCTAGCATTTTTAATATCGTTTGGGTCCCTTTTAATAGTATGGAACTCAGCGAGTTGCATTATTTGGCAAGATAAAGTGATATATTGAAGCATTTTTGTTAATGTATTATGCTCATCTACAACATGAACATCTCATTATGCTAAAATGTTGTTATTAACGTATTGTGATTTCTACAACGGAACATTGTTCGATTGTGTAATACTCTAATTGATGTATGCAAACATTTGTTATGATATTTTTGTTATAAATGTATAGTAATATTCTCTAACATAAACTTCTAATATCCCATACTATTGTTGTTCAATTTTTGAGATAATATGGAATATAAAGTGATATAAAAAAATATTAGTATTTGTGTACTATACTTTTCATATTATTAAATTTTAATTTATTTAATTTTTAAAATTTATTTATTGTGATATTCTATAATATAATATAATGTATTAAGATACTAATGTTAATGTAGACACGAAATGATATGTTAAAATGTTATTGTGGATTTGTTATAGTTTTTAAATAGTGTAAACTTCTCACATATTGGCATATTTTATTACATTATTTCCCAAAGTAAAGTCATATAATTAAAATAATATTTTTCATCTAACGCATGTTAACCTTTCTGAAGACCCTCTAGGAGGAAGTTGATGGAGGTGGATTGGCAATTTTGAATCATGATTTCCTGCCTTTTGCTAAAATTATGGAACCCATAATTTACAATAGTGTTGGCCTTCTTGCCCTAAAGATATGGTCAAGTTCTTGTAAATTGAAGTCATACAAAAAAATGAACATCAACATTTTATCTAGCTTCAATTTGATGTCGACACTCAAGCCAATCTGTTGTTTGTAGAAATACTTCTAAATTTATGTCTCTAGTGGATAACTTTGTTTAACATCTAGTTACTCTCTTCTGTTCGTTTAATTATTTGATTTGGTTAAATAATATAATAAGATAAAAAGAAAAAATAATCATAAGCATGTTATTCTTGCACTAATTCCTTGATCAAGATTTAAATTATTAGATGTAGCCCATTTCTTGTTTGATTAAGTTTTCACACAAAAAAAATTAAAAAATCATCAAGAGGGATAGAGAAGAGAGATGTTAAAAATAAAGTTGATTTAAGCCCAAAATGGGTCCTCCCTTGGGTGGGCTGAGGTGAGTTCACAAAGTTAACACAGCCATCGATGCATTAGAGTAAAGACATATATTCATTACAAGTTATTCAACTACTTGTGACTCAAATCTCATAAGATACTAGCAAAGATTCCCCATGAGATTTGACACATAAAATATTTACATTGGCTAGTCTAGACCTAGTCTACCTTTCGCCTGTTCCTTAGTTTTTCCTATAGCACCACACATTTTTCTTTCTCTCCTTTGAGTCGTTTTTCCCTCAAATTTATCTCCTAGGTAAACTTGGGCTAATTTAGTTTTTTGTTCCATTATTTCATCATTACTATGGTAATGTAACTTCATTGCAATCTGATAGATGGTTACATAGATTAAAATAACAGCCTATTTTAGTTCCAACACAATCTTCACAAAGAATTATGTGTATTTTATCAGTAAACATCAAAGTGGGGATGAGATGCATTTCATCAACTCTGAATTCCTAATCAACTGGGATCCTTTTATGAGCAAATGTAAGCTCAACTATGATGCAGATGGCAAATTAGATGTCATAAGTACTTTGATCATGATCATTATATATTGGGTACAGATTAGACATTTGATTATTGATCTGAATAATTAATTAATATGGAGATCATAACTAGTTATAATTAAGGTTAAGGTGATATAATTATTTGGGAACCTATATTTGAATACTTTCTATTAGATAATAGTGTGGAATACGTTTATATTTATCTCGACTTATTTCAGCTAAAAGAAGAGAAAATGATTTAATTTTGGGCCTAAAGTTAAGTTTAAATAGATCAATTTATTGGGCCTTATTGAAAAGGCGTAATGGATCCAGCTAGTGGGCCTATTCAGCACCCGAAAAATTTTATCGTGTAATTTCCGAATTATTCTCTGTTATTTTTCTATGGGTTATCGCGGTATTCTCTCTTTACTCAGTTAGTGATGACTTTTCTCTCTCTTTTCTCTCTTTGACGTACGAACGGGATGGAAAGTCACGAACGAACGAACGAAGAGAAAAATGGATGGAAATCTCGATGAGGATTCACGGGCGAAAGAGAAGAATCAGACAGCAGATCGCGACGAAGAATTACAAGGAAAACGAGGAAGAAACGAAAGAAATTTCGCCACGGGAATCACGGGAAAAAAGGAATAATCAGAAGAGAAGTCCCTATGGAAGACAATGGACAAACGAAGAAAAAGATATGGAAGATCTTGACGGAAAGCGAAAGGGAAATAGCGACGGAAATCAGCGGACAAACGAGGAATAAACGGAAGATAAAATCGCGAGGGAAAAGGAGGAAGGAACGTGGAAAAATGAACGTGCGATTCTCACCGGAAGTATAGGTATTTTTATCGACTTATCAAGTGATTCTCATCCCCATCATCAGAGCTCTGAAAATCGTAGGTAGGTTAGTCAGCTCATCTACCGCGCCGAAGAAAACGAGGAGTTCGACAAGGAAAGACCGGCTATTCTTCACCGCAAAAATGAGGGATTTGACGACGAGAAAGCCTGTTATTGTTCACCATAAAAACGAGAGTTCCGTCGACGAGAAATCCTGCTATTCTTCTCGGAAAAAAATGTGAGATTCCGACAACGAGAAGACCGCTAATCTACTCCAGGAAAACAATAGACTTCGATGATCAGATGACTGCTGCTTTTCGGCGCGAAAACGAGGAGAACAGCGTCCAAAAGTCACCCTGATCTTCAGCGAAATAGGAAGAGAACAGCGCAGAAAAAGGGAAGAAAACGATGACGAATACTCGGCTATCTCACGCGAAAAGAAGAAAAACAATCTTCGTTGAACATGGAGAAGGAAAAATAAAGAGAGAGAAAAATAAGAACGAGAAGGAGAGAAGAAGGAGAACTAGAAGAAGGAAGAAGACGAAATCATCTCATCCATTCGCAGCTACTTCTGATTTCTCAACGAAGAGAAGAAAAAGAACCTGAAGAAAAAGAAGAATTCAATTGTTGGAGATAAGGTTCCCTTATAATCTAAGATCTAAGATGAGAGAAGACGAGAGCTTCTCTGGTTTGTCCTCCTAAAGCGGTATAATCTAAAGAGACAAAGGGGAGTTTCTCTACTTTTGGCCACCTCACCTTGAGCCGTAACATCTTGAAAGACATTTGAGAAATCTCGAGTCAATTGATGCTTTCAAATTGATCAAAGTCCAGCCCCCATCTCATATAGAATATGAATTAATATTGATCAATTAAAATATCAATTAAAATTCAGTCTTACTTCCGGAAAGTTATGAATTAAATTTATTATACTATATAAAGTCACGTTTTCAAATGTCCCTCCATAAGTATCAACATTAAGAATGTGCTTTTTTCTTCTCAATGACTAGAATCAACAACAAAGAAAAGTAGGAGTAGATAAGATCCAAGGGTCTAGCCTTGTACTTTTTAACTCTTACAATGCAATTAAGAGTTGGCACTTGAGGGTAGTCACTTTATGCACATATTGAAATAAAAAATGAGTTATTATACTATTTTTTAAAATATTTTACATGAGTTCTTGGCAGCAAAAGGAAAATTTTTAGCAAAAAAATTCAAAACTGAAGATGATAATATATTTATTGATTCCTAAAACTTATAGGTCAACATATATTTAGATATGCTGTAAATATTTTCATCAAGACTTGCTTTAGTAAATTGAAATCACCATGATAGAGTAAAAAACTTGCAACTATCCTTCTTTGTGTAGTTTTGTGTAATTAGAGAAAACACACCCCAACTTATGAATACAATTCATATAACTGCACACTAAGAAAAATAATAAAAGTACTATATTAATGCATAAAATTAATTATCATAAGGCTTACTAACTAGAAGTTAAACCTAGAAAGCACGTAAATATAAAGTACTATATACTAATATGGCTCAACATAATATTTAACTCTCCCAATTTTAAATGCACATTGAGAGCCAATGTGCATAGTCTTGGTGTATAATAATCTCAAGTAGTATGGTGCGAATTACCAATTCAGTTTGGCAGAATTTAAATGAAATATTAGGCCAGACTACAATGTTAGCAGGTGATATATTTGAAGATACTTTATATTCATTGTATATCATCTAGAACAAGAAGTAACCAAAACAATCATGTACTTTATGAGTGTATAAGAAGGATTTTAAGAATACACTGCAATTTAACCATCTATTATGCCACTTTGTGTGTGCCTAGGTTTTCCTACTCATCTTGGTAGTTTTTTCGTTATCATAGTTAATGTCTAAAATGTTAGATATTAATCTAACCAAGATTGAGATAGTATCAATCAATAGGCATTTCACATTTTTTAGGTTTTATATACAAAAATACTGATTACTTCTTTAGTATGAAATTTACTTACAAAGTATATAACATCTGAACTTTAACAATCCGAAAAATTTAGAAATCCAAACCTTATTTTAGAAAATACTTCTGTCTGCAGGCTTGGATCATGCGCGCAATTTTTTTTTCTATCATAGGATTTTTCCCTTTCTTATATGCACATCGAGGCCAAGATCGGTCGTCTTGCTCGCTCTGATGCGAGCCCCGCACCGTTCAAACGGAACCATCATTGCCAGTCGATGTTTGGAAATCGTGATAAGACGTCGTTAGGTGTGCGTTTCTAGTTGGGCAATCCAAAGATGAATGTACGCACCTGTGTTGATACCACCCCGGAAAAATACGGACTTTGAAATTATTTTATAGTGAGTGGATACCAGCGGGAACAAGAACCCATTTCCAGTGGGACGGCGGGACTGATGAGCGCATTAGACAAGCTCTGCCTCACTTGGTGAACTCCATGATCCAGACGCCGAAGGCGGTGCTCACCTTGGCGAACCCCGAGAACCCCGCGCTCTTCGCCAGCGACTGGAAATCCTTCTCAGTCCTTTCTTTGCCGCCGGGGTTGTGGGCGAGCATGATCATGTCCAGTTGAAACAGGCTCTGTGCTTCCCTGGTCGTCTCCGGCGCCTCCGGCAGAATTCCCTCCATGACGATGATCTTCCCCTGCTCCGGCAGCGCCTTCCAACAGTTCTTCAGAACCTTCAGGCAGTGCTCGTCGCTCCAGTCGTGAAGGATCCACTGCACACACAGTTCCGACAGAGCGTGATTAATCAATGAGACACTGGAGGAGATTGGGAAGACAGGAAGCGGGGAACTCGACGGGAGAGTCGGTTACCTTCATGAAGATGGCGTCTCCACTGGGAACGCTCTCGAACATATCGCCGCCAACATGCTCCACGCCTGGGCCAAGAAAAAAGGACAATTCTTTCCATTAACGCCTACCCACCGTTCGTCCGTTGTAAGGAGAAATTAGTGGATGTGAATGGGTCGGGGAACTGTAGCTGTGCTGGTCTCTGTCGTACCTGGGAAGGACGGCGCATCGGCGATGACGTGGGGGAGATCGAAGTTGATACCCTTGATGGATGGGTTCTTGGAGATGATCATGTTGAGCGTCGCGCCGATACCCCCGCCAACGTCCACCAGAACACCGAGCCCGTCGAACCCCCGGTAAATCTCCAGCATCTTCTTCATGGTGATGGTGGAGTGGTTGGACATGCCGGCATTGAACACCGTGTTGAACCTGGGGTCGGTCCCATGGTACTCGAACGCCGTCATTCCGTAGGCCTTGTTAAAGGGGATTCCCCCCTGCTGAACCGATTCCTTCAAGTAATACCAGCTCTCCATGAGAATCTTGTCCTGGTTCATGAGCGCTAGGGTGGCCATGGAGACGCCATCCTCGTTCTGTGTGAGGAACCTTGCGACAGGGGCCAGGCCATAGCGTCTACGGATCTTTCCGCCATCGCCGTCGACGATGGAGCAGGTGAGGATGGAGTAACTGGCGAGGAGGCGGAGGATACGGTCGACCATGACGGCCGCGTCCGGGTTCTCGATGGGAAGCTGGGCGACAATCTCCTCGGGGAAGAGTTGCGCTCCGGAACCCCCCCGACTGATGATCTCAAGGAGGTTCAACTCGATGGCCGCCTTGAGAGTCATCGGGAGAACGGACGCGCTGACAAGCTGCATAGCGTAGTTGCAGGCCTCCTGCTCTTCCTCCAGCAGGGTCATCCTCGCCTCGTCGGGGACAGATCCCATGGCCAAGGGTTGGGAACTATGTTCTCCGGTGAGGCGCAGTAGAATGCCGGGGGGATGGGCAGGGGGTGGGGAGGACCCTCAGATCTGGTTTTGAGGCTGCGGACGCCTCGCTTTTTATCGAGTTTCTTTACTCCTTGTCTCAATCCACCAACCCCCGCCAGGCCTTTGGTCGCCATTTCCGGTCGTCGTGTCTGGAATCAGCCGAAATTATTCTTTACCAAATCTCTCCGGAGTCTGTATCTCTCTCTACTTAGTTGCAGCTCCCCATTAATTTAATCTCTAGAAAGCCGGAGCTCGAGCTCTAGGGTCGACGTTGATCGCAAAAACTGGGGTTATTCTTAGTAAATAAATTTGGATCCTTGTTGACTGGGCATCCGCAGTCGTTGGCCCAAAGTATGGCCTCGGCCAGCGAGTCCACGTCTTTTTCGTCCACCAAACACCTCCACTAGATAAGCCGAGGGGGAAAGTTGGCGGGTAGTGTCCATCATTTCTACCCTTGACGTTGACTGATGAATTAAAAATGGCTAAAATATTTCAATAGTTAACCGTTGGAATTAGAATATGCCGAGCAATCCGAGTCTGTTGAAATAAAATATCTTGCCGATGACCATCAGTCGACGGCGACTTATACGACTAAATGATTCAATAGTGGAACCCAGCTGATTCTACTTATTCCGGCTGTTATCATACAGAAAATAAACTAACCTATGCGATATATATATATATATATATATATATAGATAGATAGAGAGAGAGAGAGAGAGAGAGAGAGAGAGAGAGAGAGAGAGAGAGAATAAAGTATGTCGAGAGGCTCGGCCATTGACTCTCACAGTGGAGCCATCTCTCTTTTCTTATATTGGCATCTACACCTACCGTCCGACGGGAAATCTTCGCTGTCTAGACTTCATCCACTCTCGACGCCACCTACTCTAGAGAGAGAAATAGAGAGCAGAGAGAGGTAGGTGGGGGGGGGGGTCCGCCATGAGACGGAAGTTTCTAGAATCTTTCTAAACCTTGAATAAAAGGTGACTTCCGGTCGGCGCTTGGCAAGACGAAGCATAGGGAGCATCTCGTGTGGATTGTAAAAAGACCCAAACGCCATCCGCGAGAAAAGATCATAGAAAGGAGTTGGGCACCCATTTCCTTGTGGTCAAACAATTCCTTGTGGATCATTTCTCACAAAAATGGATGATCCGTTTGATGGCACCTGATAATGCTTTATTTTGATATAATAATTGAGTTAAAATCAAAGTATTTGTGACATGAATTAACATAAAATGTGAATTATTTAAGTTAAAAATATTACTCATTTGAGAGTGATATGAATTTCTATTTACTTTTTTTATGATTTATGTGAAATAAATATGTTTCTGATTTTTAATCCATGCGCTAACATGATTATCCAAGGTTTATATTCTAGAGAATTATTTTACAATTGAAAAAAATATATTCATGAAGTTAAAATTAGAAAATAGATTTATCTTGGATTTTATAGGAAATTTATGAAGACATTTTTCCAACCATTTTTTTATCAAAATAATGAGAAAAAAATGGAGCGGTTCATGACCCCATCACTAGGAGGACGTGTCAAGGATTCGTGGGCCAAGTCAGCATTTTTCGGCCACGTCAATAGTTATGGCACGTCATTCATGTATAGGTCATCTTCCATGCTCTGTTTATAGGCGGTAAAATGGACGGAGATAGTTCGGACAGTTGTTGACATATTATTGCATGAAATTCGGAAGGAAGTTCGTGGGTAAAGGGAAGAAGCTTTCCGGATGATAAAAACTGGGAGATTGGGGGAATTTAGAAGCCTTTCGACCTGAGTTCTCTCCGGATGGCAGGCGGAGGCTAGCGGAGCGACGTTGTGCACTTGCGAGTCCGATTTCTCTCGTTTTCATGTCTAAGACGATATTAAAGCTTTAGTTTCATTTTTTTTTTACCGTTTATTAGATGATTTCGCATTGATTTTCCGGTACTCTGTTTTTGGGGACAGAGGAGCGGAGTGACTGACGGTGATTGGAAATTAGATTTGCATTTTGATTCCGTTTTATTTTCGTTTTAGCTTATTTATTCGTCTGTATAACAGAGATATGAAAATATTAAGCATTTTAATCTGAATTTTTATCTCTTTTTAATCTCTTTTTCGTTCGACTTTCCATCGCGATGATACTCTGTTCCTGGGTGACTGGCGGGGACGAGGTCGTTGATTTATTTCATATTTGTTAGTTCTTCTTCTTGCAATTTTAATATTTCCTGTGAAAATAGACTTTATTAGGATCATTTTAGTATATTTATTTCAAAATATTACTCAGTTTTTATCAATCTTTGATTGAAATTTGTTTTCCCGTTTCACGGCTGGCGGGGAGACCACACCGGTGGTCGTATTTTCTCTCTGCTCCCCTGCTTTCCCGATTTTAGGCGTGTTTTCTGTCATTTAATTTTCTTTTATTTTTGCGATTTTATCTGCCATTTTCTCTGTAATACTTTTCAGGTATTGAGTCACTTATCAATTCTAATCGTGGGAAAATATCAAAATTCTAAGATTTATATCTTAAGCAATTTTGGTAGATTTAAAGAGCGGAGAGAGTTATTTTCTTTATTTTACTCTTTGTTATTTATTTTTATTTCAATAAAGTTATTAGAACGAAAGAAATTCATATTGAAATTGACCATCATCACTGTGTAAGACCTGAATTAACCAAAATTTATTTTTTTTTATTTTGATTTTTTTTAAAAAATACTTAAAATTTGATTAGTTTGTTTGCAATGACCAAAGTGATATGAGCAGTCATTTCATCTAATGTCATAGGTTCAAGGTTCCCCAACCTGAATTTCTCATTTCAAATTAGCCTTTGTGGCCCTCTTCAAGTCATGCGTGTGGATGAACAAGTCAAGACTTGGTTGAGCAGCTTGAGGAGATAGAGCCAGCAAGATGCATTGACCAGATGAGGCCCCTACTAGTTAGAGAGCAATTGGATGAGGCCCATGTTAGAGACAAGATGAGGTGAGACAAGGAGAGAGACAAGATGAGCCGGCCACAACCATTACTTGCCTTCGAGGAATGCCTCTGGCAGTAGAGGAGAGGGGGAGATTAGAAAGATGTAGAATACTTTGATTTGGGAAAAGTAGGATTTATGTAAAACTACAAAATTATAAAAAAGATATTATAAGAATTAAAATTAGATAAATACTCTCCCAACACTCCCCCTTAATTGTAGATATCAACTATATTCAACTGATTCATGTTGGATTCAAAAGATGGAGATGATAAAATTTTCATAAATATTGTCTAATTGTGTGTATGAGAGTCATAACTCTTTAAACTTGATTTTTTCTTAGATGAGATATTAGTCCATTCCAATATGTTTTGCCTTATCATGTTGTACAAGGTTGTTGACAATATTAATCATAGTTTTATTATCATATAATAACTTGAGTGGTAGTTAAGTATGCAACATGACATGACCCAATCGTTGTATAATAAATTGTAAAAAATTTCAATTTATAAATTAAAAAATATAAATTTTTAGATTTTAAAAAATATTTAAGTATAAATATAATATTTATAATTCGATAAAATATTTCACTAATAGTAAAAGATTTCAAATTGACTATAGGGATGTAAGATAATATCAGGTAAAATTTTTAAAAAAATCTCAAAGAATATGATTTTTTTAATTTTTAAACTAAATAATAGAGATAAAATATATTAACATTTATATATTTGGGTGTACATCAAATGACGTTTGACAATTCATATATAAATAATTATAAATGATTTAAATTAAATTAATATTTATAAAAAAATAAAAAATAGAATTAACTAAAGAATATTTTTAAAACTTAAAATCACATAATATCTCACAAATTTAAATAATAATTAAGTTTAAAGTTGGAGTTCTGGGGTTGTAGTGGTGATCACTAAAATTTTGAGTATTCAAAACAACTTTGGTGCGATGTTTACGACCTCAAAGGCTCTACTAAGGTATTTAGAATGTATGTAATCTCTAAATCTTCTTGTGAGATTTATAAATTGATAAAATAAGTTGACAAATCATGTTTACCAACTGTCATCTAGTGGAGAAGAAATCTGATAGCTTTTAAATTTTCAATAATTGTCATATAATAGAGATGAGTTCAATGGAGGTGAAGCACGACTTTAGGAGGTTTATCCTTAGGTCCACACAACAAAAATGAACTTTTCATCACATTTGATATACTCTAAGAAGATGGTGATTCATCTGTTAGTAAATCATATTCTTCTTGACAATGACTCATTCGTTGATCTATTGGAGAGAATTTCTTCTAAGAATTCATGATTTTGGTATTTAAAATCTTTGGTCAATTACTAATAATGATTCATGAATAGTGTTGATGAATTTTTTGTCGATGATCAAGCGATTTTGACAATTGAATCATTAGTCAACATTTTGTAGAAAAATTATAATTTAATTAAATAAAAATATATATATTTGATTTGGTGAGATTTGAACCTTTGCTAGTTGTTTGGTTGTATGAGAGAGAGAATACAAATTATCCACATACCTTTACCTAGTGACATCATGAAGGCATTTACTCCTTATAATTAAGAGGTATTTTAGGTATATAAAAAAATAAAAACTTGCTAGTGAGTGTTGATGTGAGTCTAGTTTCACATCAGCTATTTTCTGATGTTTGAGATTTATATATATATATATATATCAATATCTAATTTTGTCATCAATATACTCTTTCATGTGTGTACGACCACTCTTTACCCTACACCTAGCTAGTCACTAGTGATGTGGAAGGTAAGTGATGCATACATGCCTTAATTCGTCCTTAGCTACTCAAGCTCCTAATTTATGGCTTCACCTGACTATGCTTCTAACTCGCATGGGGGACCAATTGACCAATGGGTCCCTCAATTGTGCTTCCAACCTACTTGTAGGCATGTTGGCCAATAGGTTTCTATTTTTCTATATCTTTTTATTTTTCTTAATTTTATGTCAAAAAATTATATAAATTATATAAATTTACATAAATCACATAATTATCTAAAAAATTAATTTAGTCAACTAAAAATCTATTTTCTTAATTTAAATATATAAGTATGTTTATTATAAATTAAGACTTAAAATATATTATTAATTAATTATTAACTCATGATAATGAAAAGTTATTACAACCTAAGGTCTTACATAAACAATAACATAGTTGGTTCATGGGCTATTGCACGAAATTCAACTTGTGCACTTAATCTTGCTATGACTGTTTGTTTTTTCTTTCACCACATGATGAGACTTCCTCATAAGAAAATATAATAGCCCAATCTATATCAGCAAACCCTTTAATATGTTAGTGATTTGAAGTCTTAAAAAGTAGACCTTACTTGGGCAAGGTTTTAAGTATCATAAAATGCAATGGGCAACCTAAATGTGAGTACTGGGGGCATACATATATTTACTTATTAGATTCACAAGAAAAGACAGATCAAGTCATTAGTGATAAGTACAAAAACTTTCTAATGATTTGTTGATCAATACGTTTTGGTTCATTTGTGATTTCTTCACCATTTGTATTAGTGAGATGTAGGTTTTGTTTTACAAGTGTAGTGGATGCCTTAGAGCCTAATTTTGTTATTTCTTTTATTAAGTCCATAATATATTCCTTCTGAGATACATATATATATCACCCTTTCTAGATCTAAAAACTTCTATACCTAGAAAAATATTTTGTTTATCTCAAATCTTTGATCTTAATTTTTTTTTGTTAAATTCTCTTACAACATTTGTATTTCATGTCCATCATCACTAGTGAGAATCATATCATCTATGTAAATGATTAAAATAGAGTAATAATTATTATTTATTTTGACAAAAAAATGGTCAGCATTTCCTTGTTGATAACTAAAATGGGTCATTGCTTGACGAAGTCTAGAATACCATGCTCTAGGAGATTGTTTCAATCATAAATTCCTTTCCTTAATAGTCATACATTATCATTAGTATTTACACTTAGAGTAAGATCTATATATACTTCTTCATCTAAGTCCCCATTTAAAAATACATTTTTAACATCAAGTTGGTATAGGTTCTAATTAAAGTGTATTGCAAGTACTAATATAATGCTTATTGACCTGAGTTTTACAATAGGTGCAAATGTATACCAATATATTTGTGTGAATCCCTTAGAAACCAAACGAGTCTTATACCTAATGACTTTGCAATTAGAGTCTTTGTTCGATAGTGAATACCTACTTAGAGCCTATGAGTGACTTAGCAATTGGTAAGTTTGCAAATTCTCATGTTTTATTTTTTTTCTAGAGCAATCATCTCTTCCTCTATAGATGTGTCTCACTTAGGATCCTTCGATCTAGTCACTTAAAAGTGGTGTCAATGAATCTAATGAAGATAAGGAGTGATATGCAAGAGAAATCTTTGAATGGTTTACATATTTAAGTATAGTGTGTTGAGTGTAAGATCGAACTCCTTTTTGAAAGATAATATGTAGATTGAGATTCAGTTCATCCTTATAGTTAAACACCAAAGAAATTGTTTTATCTCATAAAGGTGGTGACTCTATAATTTTATCATGATATATAAGACTTTTACAGTGGTTGATATTTTCTATTTGTGGTTGATTTTGCAAGGACAATTATGAAGTATCTACTACACAACATGGGTGAAAATCAAGTTGATTAATAAGAGTAGGGATAATCGATATACTAAGTGGACCATATGACGTATCACGAGGAATTTCCTCAAGTTGTGGACTAGTAATAAGTCTTTGACTTATGGAATGATTGCTCACTACATATTTCCACATATCTGTAGGATCAAGATATTTAACAATATTTTTTTATAGGTGGGAGTCGAGAAGGCTACCTCTAGTTACTCTTGGATCTAACTTACTATTATTTCTCTAAAAAATATGGATAAAATAAATACACCCAAAGGTCGTAAGTGGGAGAGATAATAATGATTTAGGAGTAAATAATAATTCATGAGGAGCATAACTCATATTAATTAGATATGTCACTATCTATATATCTTATGTCGACAAAAAATTGGCATGTTGTTTTAGAATAAGACAACCATATTTTGACCACCCCATTTTGTTGGGAATTATAAGGATAAGAGGATTCATGAATAATTCTCTTATCTTTCATAAAAATATTAAGGTTTTGAGAAAAATATTCTTTCACATCATTAGAGTGAAAGGTTTTTACTTGTTTTCTAAATTAGGTGGCAATCACATTGTAAAAAGTTTAGAACAATTATGGTACTTCATCTTTAGATCACATCAAATATAACCACATTGATCTCAGAAAGTCATTTATGAAACTAATAAAGTTATGATATCCATGTAAAGAGGGAACTAGAAATGGATCCCATACATCAAAGTGAATGAGATTGAAAGAAGAACTCTTTATTTTGCAAGCTTACAAACATGATAATGTAATGAGTTAATATTAACCAACTTAAATAGAGTAGATGACATAGTTTTTAAAGTTTTAAAAGGTGGGTGACGTGACTTAGTTGTTATATAATAAATCACACAAATTTAAAATTTATAAAACTAGAAAATATTAATTCTTAGATATTTATAAGTATCTTAGTTGAGTGGGTTAAGTTCTACTCTATCATTTTGGTGGAATAAGTCAATGCAACTCCATTGTAGTGTGCTCATGAAACATCGTTATATAATTTATGTAAAGTTTATACCTTGCAGGCATACTCTTCTATTGGTTACTTCATCTTAAAACTCTTTAGTCGACTTGATAAATGGTTGGGGTTAACTGGGTAAACTCTTTCTTTTTCTGCGCCCACTGGGAGGACCATCGACAGTAGATACCTAGTCATCAAGCCTCACTTTCTTATGAAACCTAAATTCTGTTCGTTTGCAAATTGGCTCATTTTTTCTGAATTCCCACCCGCAACGCAGTGGACGGAGAGAGAGAGGGAGAGAGATAGAGAGGGGCCTACTCCGAAGATTTTTGGTGGAAAGTATTTATTTTCGTCCCAGATACACGTCGGCATGAAACAGAGACCAAAGGTAAAACAAAATAAATACCAAGGCATAAGCAACCTCCAGATCACATAGAGGTTGCATTCCCTCATTCTTCTACGACTCACCGGAGCTCGAAGTTTCCGTCCGTCAGCCATGAAATCTGCTCCCAATGAACCCAGGACGACCCTGCAGGAGGAGCAGGAGACCTTCAACTACGCCATGCAGTTGGCCACTGCTTCTGTTTTCCCGATGACTCTCAAGGCGGCGATCGAGCTGAACCTTCTTGAGATAATCAGTCGGGCGGGTTCCGGCGCCCAACTCTTTCCCGAGGAGATTGTCGCCAAGCTTCCCACTGAGAACCCAGAGGCGGCCGTCATGGTCGACCGTATCCTCCGCCTGCTTGCCAGTTACGCGATCCTCACCTGCTGCGTCATTGACGGCGAAGGCGGAAAGGTCCGGAGACGCTATGGCCTGGCCCCTGTCTCCAAATTCATCGCACCGAACGAAGATGATGTCTCCATGTCCTCTCTGCTGCTCTTCCACAAAACCAAGTTTTTTATGGAGAGTTGGAATTACTTGAAGGACTCGGTTCTTCAGGGGGGAATTCCATTCAACAAGGCCTACGGAATGACCATTTTTGAGTACCTTGGGACGCAACCCAATTTCGACGAGATGTTCAACGCCGGCATGTTAGGCCACTCAACCATAACCATGAAGAAGATGCTAGAAACCTACCGGGGGTTCGACAGGCTCGGTGTTCTGGTGGACGTTGGCGGGGGTATCGGCGCGACGCTCAACATGATTATCTCCAAGCACCCATCCATCAAGGGTATCAACTTCGATCTCCCCCACGTCATCGCCGATGCACCCTCCTTCCCAGGTACGACAAGACCAGCACAGCCCCCAGTTCCTCAGTCCATTTACATCCGCTAATATCTGGTGGCGATGGAGGAACGGCAGGTACGCGTTAATGGAAGGATTTTTTCTTTTCAATGCGCAGGCGTGGAGCATGTGGGCGGCGATATGTTCGAGAGCGTTCCCAGTGGAGACGCTATCTTAATGAAGGTGACCGACTCTCCCGTCGAGTTCCCCGCTTCCTGTTTTCCCAATCTCCTCCAGTATTTACTCGATCTATACGTTCTGTGAACTGGGTCTGCAGTGGATTCTTCACAACTGGAGCGACGAGCACTCCCTTAAGGTTCTGAAGAACTGCTGGAAGGCCCTACCGGAGCAGGGAAAGGTCATCGTCATGGAGGGTATTCTGCCGGAAGCGCCGGAGACGACCAGGGAGGCGCAGGGCCTGTTCCACATGGATCTGTTAATGCTCGCCGTAACAACGAGCGGCAAAGAGAGGACTGAGAAGGACTTCGAGTCGTTGGCAAAGGGCGCGGGGTTCTCGGGTTTCGCGAAGGTGAGCACGGCCTTCGGCGTCTGGATCATGGAGTTCACCAAGTGAGGCATTGCATGAATGATATCCATGTGCCCTTCAGCACTGTCGGCCCACTGGACTTGGCGTTGGTCTTGTTCCTGATGTTATCCCCTTACCAAAAAAGTAATTTTGAAAACCCTCACTTGAGGGGTAGTAGCAGCACAGTTGCCTACACTCCACGAACCTTCGTCGACCCAACTGAAGGCCCACACCATCCATGGCCCCACACGACTCACAATGACGTGAACGGGTTGACGGGTGTGGGAGCCATGATTGCAAATCCAGTCCAGTGAGCCATGCGGGCCATGGATATCGATTTCTCAGTTGACTCGGACGTAAATGTGCCCCTTATGCAACAACATTTAATTTAAATTAATTAGGTTATTATAAATAATGAACGGAAGAAAAAATCGCGACCGAAAAGCGTGTGAGTCACACCGTTGGTGTAACTATTTTTGACGACTCATCAAGTGATTTTATTTCCCATCCCTGGAACTCTGAAAGTCTAAGAAGGAAAATCAACTCCGCTACTGAGCGGGAAAAACATAGTGTTCGACGACGAAAATATTTATTCTTCAGCGAAAACACAAGAGATTTGATCGAGAGACAAAATCTTGCTACTCTTCACCGAAAAGACGAGGAGAACGAAGCGCCCGAGAGTCACCTGGTTCTTCACCGGAAAAAATGAGAGTTTCCAACGACGAGAAAGACTGTTGGTAAAATGAGACCCAACGCTTGTTTTCGTGAGAAACAGTCCCTTGGTGGACCGGTTCTCAAAGGAAACAGGCCGCTCATTTAAGGGCCACCCATTTCAAACCGTTCTTCGTGGACTGCTTATCAATTAGACGGGCCATTCAATAGCATATCGATCTACGGTGGCGACTCCAGATATGAGGCTTCTTCAAATGGTGGCAACTGTCAATTCAATTCATTATGGTTATGCGTCCATGGACGGACGGCAGTTCTGTTGGCATTTAATGCGGAAGCCGAAAGAAGACGGCAGAGGTATAAACGGCTTTTCCTTACCTTTTATTTTTTCTCTGTTGTTGGGCTAAATGGACGCGCCCCACTTTATGTCCACTTGATTTTGTCAACAAAAAAGTTAAAATAAATAAAAAATTTAAATGCTTTAGATTTATGAGAAATAAATACACCCAACTCATGTGTGTAAAGTCATCAATAATCAATAAGAAATATCGATTGTCATTCAAAGACAGTGTACTCATTGAACCACATAAATCAACATGTAATAACTCAAGAGGAAATCTTACTCTCCAAGATTTTTCTATCGGAAAAGATAGTCGGTGTTACTTGCCATAAACACATCCTTCACATACTTTGTTATTTGTTGAACTAAAAGGTAAATTAGAAACCATATACATGTGCTGTAATAATTTTAATGTATTAAAATATAAATGTCTATAACACAAATGTCCAAGTGAAGATAGATCATTCTTTTTTGTAATTATGCCAAAATCAATGAGTCTTGAAATATCAATAGAAAATATTCTTTTTTCAATGTTAGAAATCACTATAGGAGACATGTCACTCTTCTTATGCTTGATAATACATGTATCATCTTCAAAATAAATAATAAAGCCACATTCTAATAATTGGCACACACTAAGTAAGTTATGTGCCAACTTTGAAACAAAATAAACATCATGAATCAATATATTTACACATTAGTTTATAACTTTTTTCTCTCATATTTTCTTGTTGTTTTGCTTTCTCCCAACAATATGCTTCAATATGATCATATTTCTTACAAAAATGACATCACATAACTTTATAATTTAATTTCTAATTTTTTGATTTCCACCATCATTTCTTTATTACCCATATTGTGATGTACTATGTCCTCTTCCTCGGCCTCTAATTTGATGGTGTCTTCTACCACAGCCTCGTTGATTGTATGTGCTTTCACTATTTTTCTCTTTCTTTAAAATTTTAGTCTTAGCTTGAAATACTTGTTCAAGTGATTTTTTTGTTGATCTATTCATTCATTCTTATTGTGCTAATAGTGCTCAAATTAATTCATTTTTTGTATAAATAGATAAATCATTTGATTGTTCAATTGTAGCAACAAAATGATCAAATTTAGAAGGCAAACTTCTTAAATAAAAAAATGTTATTTTTCTTTCGGAAATATCTTCTTCAAATATTCTCATCTGATTTATAATAACAGATATTTGAGAAGAGAAATCATGCACTAATTCATCAATTCATGAAAATATTTTCAAACTCTCTACGAAGGATTTGAAGTTTCACATTCATAGTTGTGGTGTCTCCATGGAATTCATCTTTTAAGATTTTCCATGCCTCAAAAGAACTCATGGCATTAACAATACGTGAAAAGATTATTTCTGAAATAGATTGTAGTAAAACTAATAATGCCTTTGCATCCTTGTTTTGAAAATCTTTATTTTTCTATTTAGAACTTTCTCCTTCTTTATTACCATTCTCTACCAAGTTCCATAAATCTTGTGAAATAAAAAATATCTTCATTTTAACACTCCAAAAATCATATTCTCTCCAATGAAAAATAAACTTCACCAACCTTGATTTTTTTTTCTTGGATATTGATGCACTCTCCACTGACAACCAACACCCTATCCACGAACCTAACTCTAATACCCTTGGAAGAAAAAAGAATAGGAGGAAAACTTGAAGAGAATATATTGATTTTGTGGAAAGAATGGTTGGAGAAAATAGATTTCGCACATACCAAAACTCTAGAAAACATGAAAATGTCATAACTTACAATGGGTTGACCAAGTCATGTCGGCCAGCCCTCTTTTTGGCTCACTAAAGACATAAACTAAAGTCCACTAAAAACAAAACTGCCTAATAAGGACGAAATGATGTCTTCCTTTTTTATATATATTAAATACTAACAAAGAGTTGTCAGAACTCTATTTGATGCTAGAGAGAAAGAGCTTCTATCTCTTCTCTAACTTCTTTCTTTTCCCTCTCCCTTATCCCCCATTTAACCTACCTATTACAAACGGGGTGGGAGTTGTTTGGTACCTGTAACCAATCCCCTAAATGGAATGAAGAGAAGGGGGAGAGGTTCGAGCAGACATCTCACAATGGGTTGACCAAGTTAATCTTACAATTCACCAAGAAAATGTGAGATTTGTCGACAAGAAATTCTGATAATATATAATTTAGTTTTTTAGCATATTATAATTGCATATTTCCTGTTTCCACAGATTTTATCTTTATTCCTCGAGAAAATGTAGAAAAAGATGGGTGAAAATCACTTGGTCCTTCATCGCAAGAACGAGGTCTTTGATGACAAAAAAGCCTGCTATTCTTCACCGGAAAAAAAGAAGAGATTCACCAACGACAAAAGCACGCTGTTCTTCGTCAAAAAATGATACATTTCCTCGATGATGAGATAGCTGCTGATCGTCACTAGTAAAATGAGAGTTTAGAGGACAATTAGAGGGCCGATTTTCAGTGGAAAATGAGAAAAACAACGTCCGAAAGTCACCCAGACCTTCAGTAGAAAAAGGAAGAGGACTATGCCGAAATAGGGAATAAAATGATGACAAATACTTGGTTATCTTACAGGAAAAGATGAAAAAGAAAAAGAACAGTGGAAGAAGGAAAAAGAAAGAGGAAGAGAAGGATAAGAGCTTTAAGGAGAGGAAGAGAACCAGAAGAAGCATGAAGACAATAAATTATCCCATTCAGTCGCTGCTGCTTGTGATTGTCTCAACGAAGACAAGACGAAGAAGGAAATATATAATCCCTGGTCACTGGGTAATGTACTTATATTTTGTTTATATTAATTTGTTGGAAACAGGGTCTCCTTAAAACCTGAAATCGAAGAACTGAGAAGTTGAAAGCTTCTCTCGGTTTGCCTATTAGGGCTCTTGAATCTAAATGGATAAATGGAGAGTTTTAAAACAAAGTTCTTGGGAAATAATAATACAAGCTTCCAATTTTTCTCTACTAAATTAACACACCTCTTGGTTCATTTTTTCTTTCTAGGATGAGATGATAATACTTTAGAGGCAATTGATGAAGAATGGTACAGTTTAGAAAGCATGGCAATTCTTACATAAATAATTTATAGTGGCTTGGATGTCTAACCTGTTTTAAGATCAAAAGATATCTTCTCCAAGTTTCACTAGCCACAAATAGTATGACATCTGACTACCAAGTGTCTAGCAGTTTGACTGTCCTACGGCTCCCTTTTTAGCTAACTATCCAGCCAAACATCACTAACTTAACATTGGGCCCCTTTTTTTCTCCAACATGTGTTGTAACATACTTACACATGAAGCTCAGTATATTAGACTTCAACATATTTAAGTAATTTTATTCATATCTTGCACTATTGTACAACTTAAAATGCATCCTAAAATATTGATATTCATATGCTAAAATTTTCACACTGCCTGAAATACTTATTATGGGTTTATTGTTCTATTAGATCAAGCAGATTAGCTCATTAATTTCTAATGATGGTTTGAGTATTTTTATATAGACAAAGCATAATTAAGATAAAACCAAAAATGATCGTTATTATGTTGTTCTTCCACTAATGCCTGGATAAATATTTAGATTCTTAGATGTTGTTTATTTAGTAATTTGATTATGTTTTCACACAAATAAATAAGAAAAAGATTATGAATAAAGAGGTACAAAAGAGAGATTCTAATAGAAAAATTGATTCAAACCCGAGGTGGGTTACCCATAGATAATTGATTATGTTTAAACATTGCCTTTCATGTTTGGTTCTGGTTTTGTTCTATAACGCTACATGTTTTTGTTTCTCTCATTTGAGTAGACTTTCCCTGAAGCAACACACTCTCTTCTCATTGTAAAGTTAAATTAATTTAGATTTTCGGTTCCAGCTGTTCCATCATTTTGGTGTTAATGCAACTTCATCGCAGTCACATAGTTGGCTAGATAGATTCTGATAACTCGCATATTCTAGTTCGGACGCGCTCATACGAAGGAACGGATTAGTCAATATTATAATTCATGCGTCAATATCAAGGGACAAATTCTTCCCACTCGCTGCGAATGCGGATGACCAGTTCACAAGTCAACTCTCATCTTCTGGGCAAATGTAAGCTCGACTTATTTAAAATAATCCAATATTCAAAAGTCAACGTCGTTTTCTACAATCAATGTAGACCCTAGAAATTCAATTCCGGCTTGTGAACGGAAAACTGGCTGGACATCTGTAATGAAGTGGATGGAGTGAGGAGAGAGATAGAGAGACAGAGAGAGAGACAGAGAGAGAGACAGAGAGACAGATACACTAGGGGAGGGGATAGAGATACCTAGACGAAAAATCTCCGATACAACGTACCATAATTTAGTTCCAGATACACACGGGCAAGAAAGGGAGATCATTGTCTCGGTGGGGTTTGTGGGGCGACCCTGGACGCGCAGAAGGCCCCCTATAAAACGTAGCAAGGTATCAGCAACCTCCGGACTCCAGATCACCTCAGAGGTTGCAACCCACCCTTCTGCTACGACTCACCGGACCTCCCGTCCGCTAGCCATGAGATCTGTCCACTACGAGGCGAGGATGACCCTGCTGGAGGAAGAGCAGGAGGCCGGCAACTACGCCATGCAGCTGGCCAGCGCCACCGTTCTCCCGATGACTCTCAAGGCGGCAATCGAGCTGAACCTACTCGAGATAATCAGTCGGGCGGGTTCCGGTGCCCAACTCATCCCCGAGGAGATTGTCGTCCAGCTTCCCACGGAGAACCCGGCGGCGGTCATCATGGTCGACCGTATCCTCCGCCTCCTCGCCAGTTACTCGATCCTCACCTGCTCCGTCGTCGACGACGATAACGGAAGAGTCCGGAGGCGCTATGGCCTGGCTCTTGTCTCATGGTTCCTCACGACGAACAAGGATGACGGCTCCATGGCTGCCCTGGCGCTCATGAATCAGGACAAGGTTCTTATGGAGAGCTGGTATTACTTAAAGAACTCAGTTCTGCGGGGGGGAATCCCTTCAACATGGTCTACGGAATGTCCTTATTTGAGTACCTCGGGACCGACCCCAGGTTCAACAAGGTTTTCAACGTGGCCATGTCTAACCACTCGACCATCACCATGAAGAGCATGCTAGAAATCTACAGGGGGTTCGACGGTCTCTGGGTTCTGGTGGACGTAGGCGGCGGGATCGACGCCAATCTGAACATGATCATCTCCAAGCACCCATCCATCAAGGGTATCAACTTCGATCTCCCCCACGTCGTTGCCGATGCGCCTTCCTTCCCAGGTATGACAAAGACCAGCAAAACCCCCAGTTCCTCAGCCCATTCACAGCTAATAATTTCTGCTGGCGACGGAGAATCTCTGGGTACGCGTAATGGAAAGATTCGATCTTCTCTATGCACAGGCGTGGAGCATGTGGGCGGCGATATGTTCGCAAGCGTTCCCAGTGGAAACGCCATCTTCATGAAGGTGACCGTCTCTCCCATCGACTTCCCCGCTTCGCTTCCTCTTCAGAAACTTCACCAGTATTTACTTGATTGAATAATCTTTCTCGGAACTCGGTTTGCAGTGGATCCTTCACGACCGGAGCGACGAGAACTGCCTGAAAGTTCTGAAGAACTGCTGGAAGCCACTGCCGGAGCAGGGAAAGGTCATCGTCATGGAGGGTATTCTGCCGGGAACGCCGGAGACGACCAGGAAGGCGCAGGGCCTGTTCCACATGGATCTGATCATGCTCGTCCAAACACCTGGCGGCAAAGAGAGGACTGAGAAGGACTTCGAGTCGCTGGCGCAGGGCGCGGGGTTCTCGGGTTTCGCGAAGTTGAGCACCTCCTTCGGCCTGTGGATTATGGAGTTCACCAAGTGACGTACTGCTTATCTGACTGATGCGCTGATTAGACCCGTCATTCCGCTGGACTTGCGGTTGTTCGTTGTTCCTGTCGGTATCCGCTCTGGAAAATAATTTTAACATCCCGATTTTTCCGTGATAGTAGCAGAATTTGCCCATATTCGATTCACCTTGGCCAGCTTATCTGAAGGCGAACACCATCCATGGCCCGCTTTGGATTAACGTAAACGGACGGATTGGCGTGGGAACTACGACTGAAAACCCAGTCATGTGAGTCATGTGGGTCATGCATGGTGATTTCTAGTCGACTAGTAATTAAATGCAGGCCTTTTTTTATTTTGCAACATGTGTTCTCACATATGACACATGAAGCTTACCATACAACACATAAATATATTATACATTTAAAGTAATTTTATTCATATCTTGCAATATTGGACAACGTAAAATTGTAACTTTAAATATTGATATTTATATGCTCAAAATTTTATTTCTCAAGAAATACTTATTCTGGATTTATTGTTCTAATAGACCAACTAGATTAGCTCCTGATTAATATTTAATGTTGGTTTATGTATTATATTGACATATCAAAATAAATGATAAAACCAAAAAATGGCCATTAATGCATTGTTCTCGCAATAGTGCTTGGATAAAACTTTAGATTCTTAGATGTTAGTTCATTCGGTAATTTGACTCATTTCCACATGAATATAAAAGGAAAAAAATATCAACAAAGAGGTGAAAAAGAGAGATTTCAAAAGAAAAATTTATTCATACCCTAGGTGGGTTGACGCATGGGTAACATAAGAGTGTTAACTTGGTGGTAGACACACTTACTGCCCAATTAGAACGGAGAGAGAAAATTTTGTTATATGATTTGCAGCATGTCTACCGAAGAGTTCATGAATCAAATTTAAGGAGAGAGATGAAGATTCTCCAAGAGATCTCATACATCGGACATGCATATAATTGCTACTTTTCATATTGTGTGTCTTTCATGTTTAGATCTTATTTTTTCCTATAACGCCACATGTTTTTGTTTCTCTCATTTGAGCAGACTTTCCCTTAAGCAGCACACTCTCTCCTATATGTAAAGTTAAATTTATGGTTCCGTCTATCCCATCATTTTGGTGTTATGCGGCTTCATTACAGTCGCATAGATGGGTAGACAGATTCTGATAACTCGGCCTATTCTACTTCGAACACCTTAATATCAAGGTACGGATTAGTCAATATCAAGGTAAAGATTTTTACCACCCGATGGGGCAGTCCATAGAATGCGGATGACCAGTTAACAAGCCTCATTTTCTGATCAAATCTAAGTTCGATTTATTTAAATAACCCCAATATCTAAGTCAACGCCTCTTTCTACGATCAATGTCGACGCTAGAAATTCAACTCCGGCTTGTGAACGGAAAATGACTGGGCATCTGCAATGAAGTGGATGGAGAAACAGACACAATGAGGGAGGGAGAGAGAGAGAGGGATACCTAGACCGAAGAGACTCGGTAGAAAATATTTTAATTTGTCCCAGACACGTGGGCAAGAAAGGGAGATCACTAGCTCGTCGGGGTTTATGGAGTGTCACTGGGCGCAAAGGAAACCCTATAAATTGCGAGGTGTAAGCAATCTCCAGACTCCGGATCACCTAAGAGGTTGCAACACACCCTTCTGCTACGACTAACCGGAGCACGAAGTTCTCATCCGCTAGCCATGGTATCTATCGCCGACGAGGTAGGGATGACCCTTTTGGAGGAGGAGTAGGAGGCCTGGAGTTACGGCTTCCAGTTGTCCACTGCCTCCCTTCTCCCGATGACTGTCAGGGCGATCGAGCTGAACCTTCTCGACATCATCAGCCGGGCAGGTTCCGGTGCCCAGCTCTTCCCTGAGGAGATTGTCGCCCAGCTACCCACCGAGAACCAGGAGGCGGCCGTCATGGTCGATCGTATTCTCCGCCTCCTCGCCAGTTACTCGATCCTCATCTGCTCCGTCGTCAACGACGAAGTCAGAAAGGCCCGGAGACGCTATGGCCCGGCTGCTGTCTCCAGGATCCTCATATCGAACAAGGAATGGCAACTCCATGACCACCCTGATGCTCTTGAACGAGGACGAGATTCCCATGAAGAGCTGGTATCACTTAAAGAACTCGGTTCTGCAAAGGGAGGTCCCATTCAGCAGGGCCCACGGAATGACGTTGTTTGAGTACCTCGGGACGGACCCCAGATTCAACAAAGTGTTCAACGCCAGTATGTCAGACTACTCTAACATAACCATGAAAAGATGCTGGGGATCTACCAGGGGCTCCACGGGCTCGGTGTTCTGGTGGACTTCGTGGTAGGGTCGGAGCCACGCTCAAACTGATCATCTCCAAGCACCAATCCGCTACCACGAAGTCCCAGGTACAACAAGGACGAGCACAGACCCCAGTTCCACGGACCGAAACATCCGCTAATTTCTCATAGCGATGGAGGAACATTGGGTACGCTTTTACGGAAGGCTTTGTTCTTTTCAATGCGCGGGCGTGGAGCATGTGGGCGGCGCCAGTGGCGACGCCATCTTCATGAAGGTGACCGGCTCTCCCGTTGATTTCCCCGCTTCCTGTCTTCCCAATCTCCTCCAGCGTTTCATCGATTAGTCACGCTCTGTCGGAACTGTGTTTGCAGTGGATCCTTCACAACTGGAGCGACGAGCACTGCCTGAAGGTTCTGAAGAACTGCTGGAAAGCGCTGGCGGAGCAGGGGAAGGCCATCGTCATGGAGGGTATTCTGCCCGAAGCGCCGGAGGCGACCAGGGAGGCCCAGGGCCTGTACAACTTGGATCTGATCATGCTGGCCTAAACACCCGGCGGCAAAGAGAGGACTGAGAAGGACTTCCGGTCGTTGGCGAAGGGCGCGGGGTTCTGGGGTTTCGCGAAGGTGAGCGCAACCTTCGGCGACTGGATCATGGAGTTCGCCAAGTGAGGCATTGCATGCCTGATATCCATGTGCTCTTCAGCACTACCGGCCCTCTGGACTTGGCGTTGTTCTTGTTCCTGCTGGTTTCCTCTTACTATAATTTAAAAAAAAAAACACTTTTGAGGGGTAGTAGCAGCACAGTTGCCCACACTCAACGCACCTTTTACAACCCAACTGAAGGGCCACACCATCCATGGCCCACATGACTCACATGACGTGAACGGGTTGATGGGCGTGGGAGCCACGATTGCAAATCCAGTCCAGCGAGCCATGCGGGCCATGCATATCGATTTCTCAGTTGACTCGGACGTACATTTGCTGCTGACTCAACGGCATTTAATTTCAATTAATTAGGTTATTATAAATAATAAACGGAAGAAAAAACCGCGACGGAAAAGGAGGAACGAATGTGTCATTCTCACGGTAAGTGTTAATTATTTTTGACGGATCATCAGGTGATTCTATTCCCTATCCCCGGAGCTCTGAAAATATAAGAAGGAAGATCAACTCCTCAACTGCGCTAAGAAAACAAGGAGTTCGACAACGAAAATATACATTCTTCAACGAAAATACGAGGATAAATCTTGCCTATTCTTCATCGGAAAGACGAGGAATACGACGCCCAAAATCACCTGGTTCTTCACCGGAAAAATGAGAATTTTCAGCAACGAGAGACACTGTTGTTAAAATGAGACCCAACCCCCTTCGTGAGAAACGGTCCCTTGGTGGACCGATTCTCACGTAAACAGGCCGCCTATTTAATGGCGTCCGTTTCAAACGGTCGCTTGCTGGACTGGAAACAGACCGCCCATTTATATGTCGTGGTTATATGTCGATGGACGGCATATAATGCAGTAGTCAAAAGGAGACGGCAGAGGCATCAACGGCTTTGGAGCATTTTAGGCCCTTTTCTCCCCATTTAAATATACTCTTTCTCTCCTCGTTGAAAACTGGTTTGAGACATTTCGAATTTGAGGGGTTTTTTCTATGCGGCCTACTCCTCTCTCCCCTCTCTTTTCCAGCCAGATTCTCCCCCAAATCTGGTCATCTTCTCTCCATTTTGTCCGTCTATTTTTCGTACAAGGTCCAGTCCGCCAGCTCCAAATATTTTCATTAATAAGAAAGAAATCCAACAGCCAAATCCGGACTTTATTTCTCCAAATGGTTCTTTCTTTCACCGCGCTTATATCATATCTGACGGGGGGCCTTTCTCCCATTGGTGATTGGTTACCATACATCCTCGGATGTTTTGTCTAGATTCTTTGCATCTCACTCCAAGTTGTGGACTCTGCAACTACGCACCAAAACTTCAAGCCCTCTCTTGTCCTTTTTTTATCTTTTATTTTTTCTTCAGATATTTTCTTAGCTGAAAACATGAAAGATTTCGATAACAAGAAGACTGATGATATCAACTAAAAATATGATAGATTTCAACACATGATAAGACCGTTGATCTTCCTAAAAAAATCAAAACTTCAATGATGAGAATACTTCACACACTTGAAGGACAAACAAGGAGAACAATGTTCAAAAGTCACTCTGATCTTCACCGAAAAAAGGATGAGAACAATGTCGAAAAGGAGAAGAAAGTGATGATGACTACTAGGTAATCTGTTGAGACCGTGGCATCAGAAATAGGCCCAAAGAGGACGAGGTCTCAAAGGAATCATCCCAACCCAATAACAAAATTAGGCAGTTCGAACGGAGCACGAGGTGACGAGACATTGGAGCCCGACATCATCAAGGACAGTAGTACAACTGATCTTGGATGGCAAGAGGCAAGGGCAGTGGAGATCCAGCGGCAAACCAATACAATCGTAGGACCCAATGCTGATGGATCACGTCAAGTACTGAGTTCCATCGGATCCGATCATTAAGCTGATCGGACCAATAACTAAAGACTAGTCTAAGGAAGATGAGAAGGAAGGGGCATCAAGGACACAGACAAAGGCTATAAGACAGAAGGAACGGCCCTCAAGAGAGAGGGAGAACATCTGTAGGGAACGCCTCATGAAGTTAGAAATTTGTCAACTTGTATTGGCAACCCCAAGACCAGGGCGGTCTTTGCATCTCACTCTAAGTCGTGAACTTGGCAACTATGCACCAAACCTTCAAGCTCTCTCTTGTCCTTTTTTATCTTTTATTTTTTCTTCAGATGTTTACTTGGCTAAAAACATGAAAGATTTCGACAACAAGAAGACTGATGATATCAACCAAAAATATGATAGATTTCAACACATGATAGGTGATGGAGTCCACATGAGGGTTCATTCTCTTAGGTGGACCCACGAAGAAGAAGAAGAAGAAGGAGAGGCCACGTCACCCATGCACCCCTTCTCTCCTAAGGAAGGCGTCTCTCCCTCCATGAGACACCATTTTGCATCCTTTGGGACGGGGACACCTTCTTCTATTTTCTATAAATACTCAAACTCAAGAATATTGGAGGGAAAGTTCAATTTAAAATCAAGAAGATTCGTGTTATCCCTCATTCACCTCTTGGATTAGGGGTTCCTATTCTCTTTCACTCGCCTCTTGGATTAGGGGTATCTTCTTCTTCTTGCCCTCTTGAATTAGGGAGATCTCTTTCCTTCTCTTCTCATACCTCGCTGTCCTTCCATCTCGTCATCATCTACTTGTCCACGTTCTGCCTCTTAGCCATCTGCCCCGTCGCTGTTGTTCTGCCTTCTAGCCATCCGTCTTGTCACCAAACCCACCTTTCTATCCTCTCCCACTATCACCGTCGTTCTGCCTCTTCACCGCCCGACATATCACCGCCATTTCGCCTCCTTGGCGTCCGACCCGTCGCCGCCGTTCCACCTCCTCGGCATCTGCCCCGTCGCCGTCGTCCCGCCTCCTTGCCGCCCACCCTATTGCCGCCATTCCGCCTCCCACCCCATTGCCACCGTTCTGCCTCCTCGCCGTCTACCCTATCATCGCCGTTCCACCTCCTCACCGTCCACACCGTCGCCAGCCTGCTGTCGCCACTAGATCCTCTTTGGGCCGTCCTCTCGTCGCAAAACCCTCTTCCCTTATTTCTCTCACTGTCACCACCTACCGACTTTAGCCTCCCTTCTCGACGAGACCACCTCTCTCTCTCTCTTGCCGAAACTCTCTCATTTCGCCCCTTTCTCTCCCTCCGCCCTTTATTCAATGTTTAAATTCACCCTCGGTTCTCGTCCTCATAAGAACCCTGTTACTTCTCTCTCATACCGTCGCCACGTACCCCCTTCATCTCTCTCTCTCTCTCTCCTGCCAACGCCCTCTCATTCCGCCCCTTTTTCTCTCTCTACCTTTTCTTTTCTTTTCATCATTATTTTATTACTTCGCCCTACTTTTGGACCTCATTTACACCTCCTGGCCCAAACAGCTCATTCCCTTCAAATCATCACCTATTAGAAAATCCCCAACAAGGCTTGTGGATCTCAAGTCACAAGAATCAAGAAAATCAATGATTTTCTTATCCTGATTGAGAAGCCTTGTTTGATTCTTTGAATTAGATAACCCAATAGGTAATTAATGATTCTAATTCTCCTAACATCACAGGATCATCCGAATATTAAGTACTCATCCTTTGTGTAACTCTTTTTTTAAGAAAATCTATTTTGGGCCCCTTTGTCCCACATCAATAAGATAGTTGATCTTCCTAAAAAAAATCAGAGCTTCAATGATAAGAAAACTGCACACACTCGAAGGACAAACAAGGAGAACAATGTTCAAAAGTCACTCTGATCTTCACTGAAAAATGGATGAGAATGATGCTGAAAAGGGGAAGAAAGTGATGATGACTACTAGGTAATCTGTTGACACTGTTGCATCATAAATAGGGCCAAAGAGGATGAGGTCTTGAAAGAATCAGTTGAGTCTAGTAACAAAGTCAAGCAGTCCAAGCAGAGCATGAGGTGACGAGATGTTGGAGTCCAACATCATCAAGGACAATAGTACATCTGATCTTGCATGACAAGAGACAAGGGTGGTAGATGCTGATGGATCACGTCAAGTACTGAATTCCATCAGATCTAATTATTAAGTTGATCGGACTAATAACTAAATATAAGAAAGGGGCATCAAGGACAAATAGAGGATATAAGATAGAAGGAACGACCCTCAAGGGAGGGGGAGAACATTTGTAAGGAACTCCTCATGGAGTTAGAGATTTGTCTTGTATTGACAACCCCACGATTGGGGCAGTCTTGGTAGTTGGAATTCTTTTATAATAGAGTGCTCTAGAAAGCTATGAGAGATTCGACTTCACTATTGAAGTCAACAATAGAGTATTCTCTATTCGGGTCAACAAGTTTTTATCAATTAGTATGTCTTATGGAGCCCAAACCTACTGATTCTAAGTTGGATTCTCACAAGAAAGAACTAGAGGAATTCCAACACCTCACCCATTTCGATCAAGCCAACATATGCTAGTAGTTAGGCTCAATATCTCATAAATTGGGGGCAATTATGTAAATTTTAGACACCATCTAATAGTAGTTAAGAATTTTCCTTAGTCAAGCAAGCAAGTCCACTACTCTCATAGAGTTGTCATCGAAATGGGTCCCTTGGCAGACCAACACAGGCCACCACCCATTTGGGGCAAGTGAACTCAACTACCAAGAGGAGCCATTTGTGAACCATTAGGGCCACAACGAATTAACCAATCAAAGGCAACTACATAACCCACTAAAACCTAACCCTTGATGATGGTTGTAATTTTTCATATCTCTAGCGTTGAAAGAACAAAATCAAGGGTTGTTGAAAGCCCCAAAATCAGTTGATCAAAAATATTTAGAATCACAAATTTACCAAATTAAAATAGTAAAATAGGTAAGTACTGTGGTAAGTTTGAGGTTGATCTACAAGAAATAAGAATTAAGCATTCCTTAGTTACTATTTAATTGATTGATAGATTTAATTCAAATAAACTTAAAGGAGAGGTAACAGTAAGTAAGAAGAATTTTCGCCGTCAACAAAAGGGAAAACGGAAGTTAAACGATAAAAAAGAGAAATAAGAGGGGGGGGAACACTCACAAATGAATTGCAATACGAAGTTAACATTATACCTTTATCTATTCAAACCTACGGAAGCTAGATTATTGTTCACACTCAGAACGTATCAAACCTAGAGAAACTTACCTCAAGCCTCTATATTTCACCAAGGTTAGGCAATTTCATCTTTGAGTATGCTTCTCTGATGATCTCAACTATGAATCAAAGCTTGAATTAACTTGAACACATCAAGATTGATGTAGAACCTCAATGTAGTTTCAATCAAGATGACTAAATGTCGGGACATTTAAAGTTAAGTTTTTTCATCCTTAAATAGCAACTTAAATGTCTAAGGGTTTTATACGAGAAGATGAGAATACACGTGTAGGGTTGTGATTAAATGAGGGTATTTTTATCTTTTTGGCTGCAATAAAAACATGCAAGAGTCGGTTTCTTCTCGAGTTGAT